TGTTTGAACTCAATACACATATATGTCCATAGTGGACAAACACATATATCTGTTACATACGAATTTCACAGCCGCTATATACGGATACAAATATAATAGCTTATCCAGGCCTAATAGCCTATACAATAGCTTTAAACAACAAGTGATTTTTTTATGTGTTGACAATTATATATGGTTGCATGTCTTTTCTTCTTGAATTATATAACATGGTAGTTACCATGAGATCAGACAACCAGAGCAAAATCTTGAATTATGACAGAGTAAGATTAGTGGTTTTATAATTTACTAGAATTTGCATCTCACCCTTGTTGGGAATTTTATTTCAAGATCTCAGGTGAAGGATAAGTAGTCCGAGGAATGTCAGTTGAGTGTACTTGAACTATATATGTTTGAAGTATTTGTATATTTTGATAGGTTTTTAGTTAAGGCATTTTGGTTTTTTGTATAAAGATTTTGTACCATGAATGTATATGAGTATGAAAAGATATATGCCAGAGTTTAACTATGTATTTCTTTTGTTTTGTGGTAAATATTCCCTAAGTCGGGGTGCTCCAAGTATGAAAATGATATTTTGGGAAAATATAATAGTACCTAATTATTAAAAATTAATAATGCAAAACAAATATTTCTTGACATTGGTTCAATTAATTAAATTGAATTTATAAATAAATATATAAATAAAAGCAATGCGATAAATTGACTATTAATGTATTGTGATTAGTGATTAACCTCACATCTACCTTCAATTAAATAAAAGGCCAATCAATTTACCGGATCGGACCGGGTGATCTGGTTACCAATTCAATCGTTCACCGGTCAATCGCGTTTGATTTCAACAACATTGATTCACGTTACTCTTATTCTCTGTTAAGAGCGGGCTCGCAGGAATTTCCAATCACAAATTGGGAATCAATAATGAAATGGAGGAGTTCAGCCCCCACCCTAAGCGCGTGCAAAGTTCTTAAAAGAAGAATAAAAGAAGTTTGATTCAAAGAATATGAGGAAAAATATTATTACTACCAAAATTTTCTACTACCAATTCATTACCTATCTAATCACAATTGAATCAACATTTTTTCTTTTTTGAAATTTTTTTTAGTATTCTGTCTCTTTGATCCAATGGTGATTAGATAGGTAGTAAGTTGGTAGTGGAAGATTTTGGTAGTAAGAATATCCTCTCTCCAAGGAATATATATTTAATGAAAAAAATGTGTATCATTTTAAAGAACATAAAATTATGTCATTTTAAGTTAGAGAAGATAAATCATGAAAGAAAGAGGAGAGAATTTTTGTTAAAGTTGTGGGTCTTACCTTTTTATGAAAGTAAAATATTGTAAGATATGTCATTTAAAATAACACATCTTTTCCCCATATTTAATTCTATTTAAGTAAAGTATTGTATTCAAAAAAATAAAAAATTTGAGAGAGTTAATCTCACCAAAATATAGATGTTACATGTAATTTAAAAATATATATTATGGGGCGTTTGATATGAGAGATATTTTTTTTTACCTGAAAAAAAATGGTTGAGGAATTGGTAGGAATTTTTTTATCCCGGATAAATTATAAAAAAGTGTTTGATTGGCCAAAATTTTGCCAGGAAAGTTGGGTTCATTTTATTGATGCTATGTTTGGTTGGTGATAAAATATTGATGAGATAATGATTTGACTCAACATATTATATTTAGAATCTAGAACCTATGCAAAAAAAATACCAAAGGATCAGTGGGATAATTATTTGCCTCTGAGTAGTTGAAAAGGGAAATACTTGGGAAAATAATTTGCTGAGATTTTTTTCACAATACTCATACCAAACATGGTAATTAAATATTCCCCACCCAACTTCTCCATCATTCCATACCAAATACCCATACCAAACACCCTCTAGTGTTTGGTTAGCGTAATCTGATGTGATAGATAGGCATTGGAGAAGTGAGATTGTGTTTGACCAAGTCTGGTTAAGAGTTTTCAATATTTTCCTATCCAAATTACTTGCCTAGCATTCCATTTTGCATGTCAATTGGACCCAAATAGATGGCTCAATATTCCCATTTCAGATATGGTATTGGAGGTTGCCTAGCTAAATGGAGACATGGGACTAAATGGAGATAGTACCCAAAGATGACAAACATACCCTCAATAAAGGTAAAGAGTAGCATTAGTGATTCAATTTATTTTAAAAACAAGGTTATTTTGGTAATTGTAACTTATTTTTCCATCAATATTTTACCTCAAACTAAACAGATTTTATAAAATTTATCTAATTTTCCTGGTAATTTTTTTTCAACCAAACAACTTTTTTTACATTTTCCTGTCAAACTCACTTTCCAACTATTTCCCTAGTAATTACATTTCCTTATTATTCAAAAAAAATCTCTTCAACCAAACGCCCAGAATGAAATTTAGAAAGTCTTGGAGAGTCTTATTTCTTGAACTAAATTTTAAAGTGATGATCCTGAGTCCCTATCAAAAATTAAGGAACACTGACCAAAATGTCACTCTTCACCAACTTTTTTACCTAAATGCCACGCGAACAGTGTTACTTTCCAATCTGCCACTGGGGCAAGTTCACTACCCAGTGTAGCGAACTCGGTTTGCTAACGTGTCACATTTCTAGTGGATAACAAGTACAAGTTAAAAAAAAAGGTGTGAAGTTCGTTATATTGGGTAGCGAACTTGATTTTAACCAAGTTCGCTACCCCGTATAGCAAATTTGGTGTCCACTAGAAACGTGACACGTCATCAAATCGAGTTCGCTACACCGGGTAACGAACTTGCCCCCGTGACAGATTGGGAAAGAATATTGTTCGCGTGATATTTAGGTAAAAAAGTTGGTGAATACTGACATTTTGGTCACTGTTCCAAAAATTCATGTAATAATATATAGATTTTAATGTTTCTACAATAAATGCAGATAAATTATTTATATTCACTTCTAAAATAACGTCATTTTAGATTGAAACAAATTATAATTATAAAAATATCTTGATTTTTGTCTCAAAACAACATCATTTTAAACTCAATATAGATAAATTATCTATATTCAATATAGAAAAAGCGAACCCTAATTATCTATGCAATTAATGTGTAACTCCTAATAATTTTGGTCAGGATTTGATCTTTTGCTTGACTTTTTTTCGTTTCCCGTCTCCATCACCATCTTTTCTTTTCTTTTTTAAATTATAGAAATTAACTTAGTAGAAATCCCATCCCATCTACACACAAGAAAAGAAAGTCATGAAAATGACACTTGTGAAATCGAAAACGACGAATTATCAAAAAGTGCTTTTGGGGGTCCTAAAACCAAGTTCATTGCACCTGGTGTGTAGCAATTGCAGCACCTACGTCGGTGAGATAAAGATGACAAGACAGAATCCTTGGCGGACACAGACCACGTGGCAAGAGGAAATTAGACAAGTCCAACACCATAGCCTGCAATGCGACACTTGAACGGAAGGAACCCCCAATGGGATGGGACAATACAGTACATAGTACATACACTCTTCACCTGTCAAATTAAATGGGTTCTCTTTATTGCATTAACTCCATTTTTTTTTTTTAGAATGTCTGACTATTTTTAAATTCTTTTATCGTAAACCGCTTCCACGAACTGAATGCATATTTGAGTAGAAATAAAAAAAATTGTTGATTATTTTTAAAGGGATCAATATTTATTTTTTAAAAAGATATAAAATTATATTATTTTAATTAAAATTATAGTATTTTATGATGAGAAAAAGAATTAAAAATTATGGTGAAAAAATGAGATATTTTTTAATTTAGATATTAAATAAAAATAAACATTTTAACTAAAATAACAAATTTTTCCTAGAAATAGTTTTTTAAATCTTCTTCGTGATTCTTAATTGTTTCAAAATTACGAACAAAATCTTTTTTATCATCTAATAAATAATATTTTAAAACATTTAATGCTTGTTCTATTAATTTGTTACATAAAATCAGTTTTTTCACATTATCTAAACAAAGTATTTATTTTCAAATTACTCTCCAGTTAATATATTTAAGAAATCTTATTAATTGTTTTTTTTTTAATTTGGCTATACATAAAATTAATCATTAAATAAATTTTTTTATAGTATGATTAACTTAACTTTTTTAAAAAAAATTAAGAAATTAATCATTTAAGAAGTCTTGTTTTTGTTTCCTTTATGCCAGTAAAAGGCTTGCTTGGGTTGACTAAAATTAAATAAATTGGAAATTATACCTGAAGTAAATGACAAAGCATTATCAATTAATAATTCTTTTAGTTTTCTTGAATTCAGAAAACAGAACCACCTCTGTTAATTAAAACTTTAATTGCCTTCTCACAAATTTATCAAGTGTAGGACCCTGGACTGGAACAATACTTCAATATATAGTTCTATATATGTAGTTATTTTGTCATGATAGCCAATTAAGCAATAATTTGTACTTATTGACCAATTCTCTGCATTTTCAACTGCGTTCTCCGAGCTTGTTAAGAAGTATTACAAAAAAAAATGTATATTTTTTGAGTCTTTTTTTACAACTCTTTGCATTTGCCTATCTCAAGAAAGCAACGACGTATATTGGAGAAGCTACCAACACCCGTAACTCGTTGGGGTTGCGATACCGCGCGCAGTTAAAGCGTGATTTCATTTTTTCTTTCCTATGTCTTTTTTTCTTCAAAGTTAGGCATACGGATATGACCCCATGAATCTTCTAAGTTCTAACGTCAATGCTTTTTTGAAATGATTTAAAGAATTTTTTATTCTAAAAAATACATGCGAGTTAAAACCAATATCTGCAATTAGGTTAAAACATGGAATTGCAAATCAATATATTTTGTACTATATAAGTAAATTGTTTTATTGTATATATTAAAAAATAAAAGTAGAATTGTTAGTCAAACGACGTATGTCAAAAAATAATCTAAATACATGAAAACTCACTCTTGTTATGTATCATTAAATTTATTTATAGATTTGTTAGTATCATCATATCGAAATATTTGTGTTCAACTCCACATGTAATTTTATATAAGGTCCATATATTATTTTGGGGTACAAACAAAATGTCCATATTTATTCACATAACCAAATGGAATTTGATCTTTTGATAGTTGTAGTTATGTGGCAGCAAGTTGCCAAATTTCAAATTCTTCCACTAGTTGCCATTTTCATTTCGTACTCCGTTAACAGCTTGCTGCACATTCAACAAAAAAGAGAGTTTCATTTCATCTTCTAACGTGCAGTACAAAATATAAGCCAATAAACAGAAAAGAACAAACAAGAGGAAGTGGTTAATCGATTTCTAGTCATCACCTGAAAGCAAGACAAGGCGTATTGCACATCACTTGCCGATATTTGGTGGTGGAAGACAATTCTCAAACTGGAACACAAGTAAATAATGTCATCAGTTACAACATACTAACTTAATTAATACTTATTTCAATTATTAGTAACAGTGCAGCTAACAAAATAGTAGTAACAGTGGCAAACAAGACCTTGATGAGCTCATTGGCATCAGAAGGATACCATAGTCTTCCAAGTCCTTGCATAGTTTTGCTGCTGTAGTTCGTGAACCCTCTTCAATTTCAATATATATCTGGTATCAGAGATAAAGATCTATAAAATAACTGTAGTTTATAGCTGTTTCAAGCTAATATAGTTATTAAGGATCTAAGGATCTAAACAAAGCTGTTGTAAATAATATTGATTTAATTATTATTTAGTTTATTGTTGTATTGGGCCAAGCCCTTTGTTGTATTGGGCCAAGGCCTTTAGGTTAAAAGTATGTCACATATTCTCTATAAATAGAGAATCCCTTGTACACATTATTTACAATTTTAATATATATCAGAATACCCTTTTTCAAGTTGGTATCAGAGCTCTCGATCTTGAGGGCTCTGCTTCCGCGCCTACGAAACCCTCGCTGCCATTAGCCGCCACCGGAAAAATTTTCCGGGGACCTCTTGGACTGAGAGATCACTGCTTCTCTTTGTTTTTCTCCCATCTTCCTCAATAACAAGACCCCAAACTGAACCGTTCAACGTCACCTCCAAACAGAAGCGTTTTTCACTAACCAAGAACACTGTTCATCGCGATTGACCTTCTTTTTGGCGGCCATTCAACTCCGATCAGCCCCAGATAGGTTCGCAATCCTTGGACGACCTTCGCCTGAAAAGCCCAGCCCGATCGGACGTCAGACGCGCCTCCACGCGCCGCTTCTTTCCCTGCGCGTGAATCTCACGCGCCGCCAGCTTCACCGGCGCGTGACAGCGCGTGACGGTTGCTTTTGGCTGCGGACCGGTGCAGTCTTGATCGACTCTCCAAGCTCGTTCTGGATCTGTGCTCACCTCTTTGATCGGACCTCGTTTGGTAATTTTTTCGTGATTTTTTGGCTTCTTGGTACTATTCCTTGAGTTGTTTTGCAGTATGGCCGCTTCCGACGGTGATTCAACTCTAAACTTATCTGAGAAAAATTCTACCTCATCTATGGTGACCCCTCTTGGTCACAATGATCTTCCAAATCTACATCAGAGTTATCGATTTGACGGATCAAATTATTTGTCATGGTCTCAGTTCATTCGTACTACCATCAAGAGTCGCAATAAGATTGCTCATCTTGATGGCCCTGCTCCTGCTGCCACGGATCCCGATTTTGCTGTTTGGGATAATGAGGATTCTCTTATCATGACTTGGTTGTGGAATTCGATGACTCCTGAAGTGGGTCGTCATTGTATGTTCTTGTCTTCTGCTATGGAGATTTGGGAAACTGTCCGCTCCACTTATTCCTTGAAACAGGATATGGCTGCGCGCTATGAATTGCGCAATAAAATATTCACTACAAAACAAGATTCTTTATCCGTGACTGAGTACTATGGCACCTTGAAGGAGTTATGGACTGAACTTGATCAATTTCAGAGTTTGAAGATGAAATGTACTGCAGATGCTACTGCTTTAGCCAAGGAGGTAGAAAATGAGCGTATTTTTGATTTTCTTGCTGGTTTGAATTCCGAGTATGATCCTATTCGGGTTCAGATACTTGGCAAAGAAACTTTTCCATCCCTTTCTGCTGTTTTCAATACTGTTCGGGGAGAGGAGAATCGTCGGGGTGTTATGATGAACCCTGATAAATCTGTCATGTTATCATCAAAAGATGGTGCTGCTTCTAAACCCACTGATGGGTCTGCTATGATTTCAACAAAAAAAGATGGTTCTACTTACAAGAGTTCCTTTCCAAAATATTCTGATGGAGCATCTTCTAGACCTAAGAAAGATGATCGCTGGTGTTCTTATTGTAAAAGAACAGGTCATATCAAGGATCTATGCTATCGTCTCCATGGAAAACAAACTGTCTTAGAAAAGATGGCAAGGATGCGTGGTCAAGCGCATTTTACTTCTTCTGATATAGCTCCTACACCTAATGAGACCCAACCTGCATTTCGTCCAGATGAGTTGGAACGACTTCGAACCATACTTGATTCTCTGAGTAAGCCATCTGGTACTAGTGATTTGGCTATGACTGGTATGAGCTCCAAAATTTCTTCTTTTCTTACTTCATGTATTGATTTTAAACATTCTTGGGTTGTTGATTCTGGTGCCACTGATCATATGGCTTGTTGTGCTGACCCCTTTGTCTCTTATAACCCTACCATTGGCACTCATACGATAGCCGTAGCTGATGGCTCCCATACATCAGTTGCGGGTTCTGGTAACATAAAATTACAGCCTTCCTTATATCTCAAAGATGCTCTTCATGTCCCTAAACTTTCTACTAATCTTCTTTCTATTCATAAAATTACAAAAGATTTAAATTGCACTGTAACCTTCTTTCCTACTCACTGTGTTTTTCAGGATCTCGCCACAGGGAAGACGATTGGGGGTGCTAAAGAGCAAGGTGGGCTGTATTATCTGGTGTCACAATCTCCTGCAACTCATGTTAAGGATCACATCTTACTGTCACATGGCCAGTCAACTGCTGATTCTCTGATTTGGCTTCATCATAAGCGCTTGGGACATCCTCCATTTAGTTTACTCAAGTCTTTATTTCCGTCTTTGTTTTTGTCTAAGTCTGTTGAGTCTTATCATTGTGATGTTTGTGAGTTTGCTAAGCATCATCGTGTGTCTTTTCCTTCTAGTATTATTAAAAGTGTTGAACCTTTTGATCTTATTCATTCTGATGTTTGGGGTCCTTCTAAGGTCCCTCATTCTTCTGGAAATAAATGGTTTGTTTCTTTTATTGATGATTGCACTCGTGTAACTTGGGTTTACTTAATGCATGAAAAGTCTGAGGTACCAAAACTGTTCTTTCAATTTTATAAAATGATTGAGACTCAATTTTGTAAAAAAATCAAAAGAATAAGGACAGATAATGGTACTGAATATGTCAATCACTCTTTTTCCCAATTTATACAAAATCAAGGTATGATTCATGAACTTACATGTGTAGACACCCCTCAACAAAATGGGGTTGCTGAAAGGAAAAATCGTCATCTTCTTGAAGTTGCTCGTGCCTTATTGTTTCAAACACATGTACCCAAATGCTATTGGGGAGATGCCATTCTTACTGCAGCATTCTTGATCAATCGTCTACCCACTCGGGTTCTCGATCATGTAAGTCCTATTCATTCCATGACTTCCTTTTTTTCTTCTATTCCAACTTTGCAAAGTCTTCCTCCTCGAGTGTTTGGATGTGTTGTCTTTGTTCATATTCATAAACAGCATCGCAGTAAGTTGGATCCTAGGGCTCTTAAATGTGTCTTCCTTGGATATGCTCCTGATAAGAAGGGCTACAAGTGTTATCACCCTGGAAGTCGGAAATTTTTTGTTTCTATGGATGTTACATTTCAGGAATCTGAGTCCTTTTTCCAAGGTCCTCATCTTCAGGGGGAGAATGATTCACCAGAAGACTCATCACCTTCCTTCTTTGAAACTTCAGTGTCTCCTTCACCTGTGTCAGTGTCTCTTCCTCTTGTTCCTGTTCCTAATATGTCTGTGACTGATCCTCCGATGACTGATACATCAAGTACACAAGAGATACGGCAGATTGTAACACCTGAATTGGTATATCAAAGAAGGAAACAGCCCACATTGCCTCAACAGCAACCTCAATCGTCTGAACCACTGGTAAGTCCTGAATCTCATATTTCTGATCATGATACTTCTGATGACTTACCCATTACTACTGCTTCTGATGATTTACCCATTGCTTTAAGAAAAGGGAAAAGATCTTGTTCCAAGAAATCTTGTTCTTCCTGTCCCTCTTGTATTCAATACCCTATCTCCCATTTTGTTTCCTCTGCTAATCTTTCTGTGCAGCACAAAAGCTTTGTTTCAGCACTAGATTCTACTTCAATCCCAAAATCAGTACATGAAGCTTTGAGAGATGGGAATTGGGCTCAAGCCATGCAAGAGGAGATGAATGCATTAGAGAAAAATAAAACATGGGAGGTTATTGATAGACCCAACGGAAAGAAAGCAGTAGGGTGCAGATGGGTTTATACCCTAAAATATAATTCTGATGGCACTCTTGAGAGATACAAGGCTCGATTAGTCGCCAAAGGTTACACTCAAACCTATGGCATTGATTATGAAGAAACCTTTGCTCCAGTTGCAAAAATGAATACAGTGAGAATCTTGTTGTCCCTTGCTGCCCATTACAATTGGGATATAAATCAATTTGATGTGAAAAATGCTTTCCTCAATGGTGAGTTAGAAGAAGAAGTCTACATGGAAATCCCGCCTGGTTTTGATTCTGTGAAGGGGGAAAATAAAGTTTGTCGATTAAAAAAGGCCTTGTATGGATTGAAGCAATCACCTCGTGCTTGGTTTGGGAGGTTTACTAAGGTTATGATGACCTTAGGATATAGACAGAGTCAAGGAGATCACACTCTTTTCTTCAAGCACTCCCAAAACGGGAAGCTTACTGTGCTCCTTGTATATGTTGATGATATTATTATCACAGGTAATGATTTTGTGGAGAGACAGATTCTGCAGACACGGCTTGCCTCTGAGTTCGAAGTCAAAGACCTTGGAAAACTGAGATATTTCCTAGGGATAGAAGTAGCTCATTCAAGCAAAGGAATTTTTATCAGCCAAAGGAAATATGTTCTTGATCTTCTCAAAGAAGCAGGAAAGCTCGGGTGTAAACCCTCTAATACTCCTATTGAGCAGAATCACAAGATGGGCTATGAAGAAGAGAGTCCTCCAGTTGATAAAGGACAATATCAACGGCTAGTTGGGAAATTGATATATCTGGCTCATACTAGACCAGACCTAGCTTATGCTGTTAGTGTTGTCAGTCAGTTTATGCACAATCCAAAGGAAAAACACATGCAGGCTGTAGAGAGAATTCTTCAGTATCTTAAAGGTACTCCTGGTAAAGGATTGTTATTCCGACGTGATGGCAATCTATCTTTAGAAGTCTACACAGATGCTGATTATGCTGGATCCATGACTGACCGTCGTTCTACCACTGGTTATTGCATGTTTCTTTGCGGTAACTTGGTGACATGGAGAAGTAAGAAACAAGATGTGGTTGCCAGATCAAGTGCAGAAGCTGAATTTCGAGCTATGGCTCAAGGCATTTGTGAGTTACTGTGGCTGAAAATTGTACTTGATGATCTCAAAATAAAATGTGAGGGACCTATGAAGCTGCTATGTGATAATAAGTCCGCTATTTGTATAGCTCATAATCCAGTTCAACATGATCGGACTAAACATATTGAGGTCGACCGCCATTTCATCAAAGAGAAACTTGATAGCGGGTTAATTACCACTCCATACATTCCCACTGGGCGTCAATTAGCTGATCTATTAACAAAGGGGCTTCCTACAGACAGATTTCAAGAACTTACTAGCAAGCTGGGAATGATAAATATCTATTCCTCAACTTGAGGGGGAGTGTTGTAAATAATATTGATTTAATTATTATTTAGTTTATTGTTGTATTGGGCCAAGCCCTTTGTTGTATTGGGCCAAGGCCTTTAGGTTAAAAGTATGTCACATATTCTCTATAAATAGAGAATCCCTTGTACACATTATTTACAATTTTAATATATATCAGAATACCCTTTTTCAAGTAAAGCTCTGCTTAAGGCCCAAGTACTATGCAAAAATAAGGAAATGAAGAGGGAATTGAATACTCGCTCAAATAATGATGCAGTTGTACTTGCATGAATGGACTCTACTAAATACTCACAATATTGGTTTCCACAGAAGAGGTATCCACTCTCAGTCCTTCAATTTCATTCAATCCATCTAAAACGAAGGGAAATTTTATATGAGAAAAGCAAGTGCGATTAAGAAGAAAAAGTTTATAGGGTGTATAAAATCGTAATTCTAGATCTGCATGTGAATCAGTTAAAATTCTATGACATTTACCAGCCAAAAATTTAGCATTGTTGTGATCGCTTTCTAGCTTTCCAACATTTTCCTGTAAAGCAACAAGTGCAGCAGCACAAAGGATGCCAACCTGTCTCATTCCACCACCTAAGGTTTTTCGGAGCCGTCTAGCCTTAAAAAAGCAGATATAATAGACTCAATACCAAGTTCTTTAAAAAACAATATAGATCTTATATTCCCCTGAAATATTCTGAACTACCTTGATGATAAAGCAATTGGAACCAACAATAACAGATCCAACTGGAGCCCCCAGACCTTTTGATAGGCAAACCTAATTCATATATTCAAAGGAATCATAATTTGGTTAGTTCTATTATTATGTAATAGGGTATAGAAGTAACTAAGTATATATAAATTTGATTTTGAATTAGGTAGTTAAATTAGTATTTTAGAACTTCTTTGAATAAGATAGCTAAAACTGCCAATGTCAAGAAACCATACTGCATTCGGGAAAAACTTTAAAGTAAGCACATCTTTAAAGCTAAATAAGGGTGTATCCAGCTTTAACTTAAACTAAAGTGAATCGTGTTCTTAACCTACTAAATGATTTAAAGGTAAATACGCCCTTAGTTGGTTATTTTAAAAGTTATTTTAGAGGAACCTTTTCCCTTAATCTTATCCGAAAAAAGAAAAGGGCAAAAAAGAAACAAACTGATACTGAATCGGCTGCTTGGACAAGCCTATCCACAGGAACACCAAGTGCCTGAAAAACCAAAATTTTCTGTTAAAGTGTTGTTTGTACATGATAGCAGGAAGGATAAACAAATGAACATTAGATCAGGAACCAAAATAAATAAAAGCTATATTTATAATAAAAGACATAATGTTATTTCCATATTTCCTACTACGACACTAAGAAAATGCGATTAAGATATGTTAGAGATATATATAACTATTAATGTAGCCTCACGCCCTCACCTAACAGCTTAAGCTCTTGGTTGAATTGATTTTTTACATGATATCAGAGCCTTGGTGTCACTGATTCGATCATCACCGCCCCCCATTTAATTATTAATTAATTAAGTATTGTGGAGTTTCTTAACACAAGTAGATGGGCCTATGTATTGTCCACCCTTCGAGCCCAATTGGCTCTCATGTGAGAGGGCGTGTTAAGAGATATATAAAATCATTAATGTAATCTCACCTAACAGCTTAAGCTTTTTGGTTGAATTGGTTCTTTATAAGATATTCACTGGGAAAGAAGCCTTGAAGAAGTGCGGGATTGACATGTAATCATTCAAATGATAAGTAATTTGTTTTCTTTCAAATTTGCTTGATTTACAGTCTTCAATATGATATCCACAGTATATATGAAAGTATGTGCACACAAATAAACTGTTGCCAAGTACTAGGATAACAGAAAGTCACTACACTGTACAAGGTTCTTGGAAGGACTATTATCACTTTACAAACAAGCAAGCAACTTCATTGGTCATTTCCAGTCAATCCATCTCAAAATTACTTTTGCGGCTCACACCGAAATTCAAAATGCCTTTCTTTATTTATCTTGGCACTAAACATTTCGTCAGAGTTAAAATAGCGTTGTATGATTATGTGCATTTGATAATGAAGACCTTTTGATGACAAAAATTATATGCACAAAACTACCCAAAAAAAGGGAATTATATACACAAATATATGTATTAACAGAGCATAAGAGATAAAGATCCATCTTACCTTTCGTTATTGATATCTTTGGCAGACAGATATTATTTATACAGATATAAGAATTCAGTTAGGTGCATTTAGGTACAAAGTCAACTTTCCAGTAACTTTATTCGATGGATTTTGAGCAAATCATATAGGTAAAGCAGAAAAATTACTTACAATTGACGCATTAAATATACGGGCTCCATCAATGTGAAGCTTTAGTCCGTGCTTCTTAGCTATCTCTCCAACTCTGTCTATATATTCAACTGAAAGGCATCTACCACCGCAGCTGCATTCAGGAAAAAAATATCAATCATTCACACTGCTTCTGTAACAGGATGTTTTAATCAATTTAGAAAGGGGAGGCACTGTTGAAATCCAAAGACATATTAGCAAACTGCATAGGCATGAAACCATAATTGGGTTACGGTGATACTGATTACTACCAACAAATAGAGTGAAGCTACAAGAAAAGTTTTAACAAAAAAATTGCTTACTTTGCATGAGTATTTTCCAAGCAAATAAGCCTTGTGGTTGGATACACTAGCTCCCCCTTTGGATCTCTGATGACAGACTCAATCAAATCAATGTCCATGGTTCCATCGTCATTGTTTTTAACTGTTCTTGGATGTACCCCTCCAATAGTTGCAATGCCTCCATTCTCATAAATATGGATATGGGAATTGTCTCCAAGAATAACTTCACTTCCCCTAATATCACAATGGACAAGGACAGATATAAGGTTCCCCATAGTGCCTGATGGGACAAAAAGAGCTGCTTCCTTTCCCATTATCCTTGCCATTTCTGTTTCTAACCGAAAACAGGAAGGGTCATGGCCAAGAACATCGTCATCAACCTCAGCACTGGCCATAGCAGCTCGCATTGTTTCAGTTGGCTTTGTGACTGTATCTGACCGAAGATCCACTATCCTACTTACCATTTTCTCCGTAACTAGAACAAACCAAAATTTAATGTCATATGCCATTCTCACCATTTGCATTTGGTAAAAAACTAGAAGCATCAAATCAAATCAGCAGTTTTATACGAATTGGTGCTTACAGTGACATTTTCTCAGTAACCATTCAGGTAAAATTGAGGGAAGGATGATCTTGAAATAGTCTCCATTAATTTCAAACAAAGAAAATACTAATAATAAAGTGGGAAAAAAAGAAGAAGAAATAGAGCATTACATGATCAAGCTCTTCTTTGACTTCAAATTGTACCAAAATTCGATAAAAATAAAATCTTTATGGACGACAAGATTGAACAAACTGGAATGATTAACAAAATATCAGAATCATAATTATCACCTAGTTTCCAATTTATAGAGGAAAAACAAAAACAAGAAACAAGAAAGATCACCAGCAATTCCACAGAGTGATAGATACGCAAATTACTCTAAAATTAATTAACATACATAAAAAACACAGTGAAAGACACTAACATATATAGAGCTGCAAAGAGCATGAGTCATGCAAGGCAACTATTGAAATCAAGAACTTGTTAGAATTTTGTACTGTAGTTCTTAGCTTGTAAAACCAAGCATCATATAAGTCACAAAGAAGGAATAAATGGTTTCTTTTTTCATCATACAGAATCAGAGGCAGACAAAGGAACAAAGCCAACGGAAGTTGAAATTTCAGAGGAGTTAATTACCTAGACACTCCAAAAAGATCACAAGTAAAGTAACCCAAATATGATGGAGCTGTATTGGAAGTGCACACTTATTTAAAGCAGCTAACTTTGGACTTAACTGCATGCAATACGTCATGCAGAGAATGGAGACAAATATGAGTTTGCTACGATAATCTGAGGAAGTAAGAAGGAATCAAAAAACTCTTTAGCACATTATAAAATGGCAACAACCAATGGATAAGTTTCTTTTTTATTGCGATGTCAAGTTGTACCGTTGCTTGCTTTGATGGATATCTCCACCAACCATTGGTATGTCTTTATCCTTTTTGTTATTTTTTTTACTCTCTCAAAAAATAAATATTTATGCTACTGTTTACAACTAATAACTGGGTAAATCAAATATAATGTTACATGATAATAACATGATATTCTTACACACACAATTAATATGAATCTCATTTCTTAATTTTTTCTTTCTCATCTCTCCTCTGCTTTCTCAATTATATGGGTAGAAATATCATCTTACATAATGTAACATGATATTTGATTTTATCCAATAACAACAAGTGTGTTACTTTTTTTATGTTACAACGGATAAAAAATCTCTCATACACAATAAAATACAATGTGAATATCACTTTGTGCTTTTCTTTCTCCTCTGTTTAGTGGAATTCATATTATACTTTGTGTGTGCACGAGAATCATTTAAGCTTTTCAGTTGCAGTCTTGGTATAAGTTTAAGTTTATGATAAACTCTATGCAAGTGGGAGCGAAAAATATTATGGTCAGTGGCCACCAATACAAGTCTCGTGTGATAAATATGAACACGCATTAGCATATTCTTCGTGTATGAATGGTTTCTTTAATAAAATAGAGTAACCATGAACAAAATAATGTCACAGACTCACAGCTTGACTATGAAACCTTGAAGATATTAACTAAACAGTAGCAACCATTCATACATAAAAATATAACTAAACATTGACACAACATTAGAGAAAATAAAGTTATTGTTTTTTTTACGACATTTTTCATGTAATCGTATACGTAAGTTTTTATATAAAAATATATTTAATAGTTTAGGGATGTAGTCTCTTTAGTATTGTTATTAATTTATCTTCACTTCTATCTTTATTGAGAATATATTAAAATCTCATGTAAATTGCAATGCCCTCTCCTTCACCACTATCTGGCGCGTAAAATTCACTATCTTGACTAATTGAAGTGGCAAATTCCTTTTAGTCTCTACACTTGTTCAGATTTTTCTTTCAAGAAAATTTAAATGTTCCACTTCAAAGGACCAAATACTACAAAAGAAAATTTAGTTGTTGAAAAGAGAAACAACTTGGTAGTTTACCTTATCTAAAAAAGTTTAACGAAGGCAAGGTGGATTAAAATCTAATTGATTGGCAAAATCCTATGCTCTTTACCAAACGTGTAAAGAGCGCATCACCCACATCCACTCGGCGGAAGTAACGAGGACAAAAATTCGAAAAATACAGGTAACCATCTCAATAAGCTACTACAATTTATCCGCTGATCACAAATATTACATACTTTTGCCAGTGACCGTCCAATAAACAGGGACTCACTCCATGCAATTCATTCAGATAGTGACTCATCAAAATCTGGGTTGAGCAACAACTCAATCTATTACCCCCACAAACTTTTCAAACGGGGTGGTTTCTCTTAAACTATTTATCATATTGGTTTACCGCTTCCACGACCTCATCTGGTTTCTCAACATCTCTATCCTCCCCGGTTCCCTCGATACTACTTGTTTCCACTGCAGCACTCATATCTAGTGTGGCCTCTCTGTTTTCAATATAACTGTCAACGTTGTTACCTTCTACCACTTTAGCACTGCCATCCTCAGCAACAGGTGCATCAGGCAATTCAACATCAGTGTCGTGTGTCATTTGCTCTTTACAAGAATCCACATCCATATCGCTTTTGGAGATAGAATTGGCCTGGTCTTGTACAATGTCTACTTGCTGGTCGGCCGTTCCATCATGACATGGACCAACCGATGTAGCACTTCCATGGTCAACGGAGACAGGTACAGCTTCACAAATCTCTGTGCCTGGCACATTAATTTCATCAGTTGTGGCCTCGGTAAGCTCAAGTGCATGATTGTTTGCTTCAATTTCTTCTTGCTGTTGAGCTTGTACCCTGAACTGGTCCATGACATTTTGTGTCCTTTCTAGTTCTGCCATGAGATCCCCATACCTCTTTTGTAAAGTTTTCTCAAGTTCCTTTTGCTTCTGTACTTCAGCCCACATATTGTTTATCCTGTGTGATGCTGCCAATTGCTCCTGCTTCTGTAAAGCTTGGAAACACTCTGATTCTGTTGCAGCTATGTCCATCTGCTTGAAAGTGGCCTCAATTTGCGGCCAAAGACTTTTTTTTGACCTTGTCTAAAAATGCAATAGCCAAAGTATGATATTTTAGATTGAGTGTGGAAAAGAAGTCAAGAAATAATAAAGATGAGATACAAGATTCTACTTTCCAATATGTTAGACCCTTATGGGGGAAAAAGAGTAACTTCATTGAATGGACTGTGTGAGGGCCCAAAAAAAAAAATGTACTTCCACTTACATATAATAAAAGAACTTTACCTGGAGAAAAAAACTAACAGGAAAAGGTGCTAAATAAATTTGAAGATCATGCTACTTAAAAATAAAATATCTTCTAGAAAAAAACATTTCATACAAATGGAGCTTTCTTTTTATCTTGGAAGACAGTATGTAAATGTGTCCACTTGAACATTTATAGATATGTGAGTTTGCATGAACTCGCACAAGTCTATCTTTCCTTTCTGTTTGGCGGCATCCAAATGATTTCTCAAAATGTAGCATATTTTAGAGATTCTAGGTGTTATAAAGAAGTTGTAAAACAACTTTCTTTTGTCCTAACACTTTTATCCAGCATCACAAAGCATAAACAAATTACAATGACAACATCTATCTCTTGATAAAAAGTAAATAAAGGAGTAAAATCATATTTTGTTCAAATACATTCAATTACAAAAAAAGTACACATGTCCCCAAACAATGATGAAATGTATTTCCGTACAAGTGACTGCCACCACATTCCCCACTCATGCGTTGAGTTCCCACAAATTTTCAGTTGCACCAGTTTTAAGTTAGGTTTTTAGCATTTTCAATCACAAAACCAACTTTCAAGGGGCATTCAGACAGCATGAAGACTTTAGAATCTCAATAAAATTACTGCAAGCTAAACATAGTAGACACCTAAAAGTAGTGACACTAACAATGATTAAAGACGACACTGCAAGAAGCAGAAAGCATACAGGATAGCAGTAACATACGTACCTCATAGCCTTGTGTAAGTACTGTCACTTTCTTCTCAAGGCGTACTATCTTCTCCTTACCATCATCCAACTTGCTTCTCACATTCTCAAATTCATTCTGCAAAGCTTCTACCTTCTCCATGTTACCAGCAACACTTGATAGACCATAGGCATTACGGGTGGCAAAGTACATCAGATCATTAATGCAAGTCGTATGTGCTTCAACAAATTCATCAAGGGATTCACTTTCATGCCCCATTGCCACACGAAGATACTGGGCCTCCTCCTTTATCAACTGATCAGCCTATCAAGAACAACATATAAATAAATAGCACGCAGCAGAGATATTTTCTATAACTTACAAAGTCGTTTCCACTGATACCATAGTCAAGATCAAAGAGGAATAACATTATAATTAACTGCTACTTTTAAAAGTTTGTTATCATTTGGCAAATGAACATAAATACGGAACATAAATTATAATCTGTAATCGAAGAATCACTTGTTAAAGAAAATGAAAGAGGAAGGTAGAACATGGGGAATTACATCTGAATCAGTGTGAGTATAATATAAGCCATTAAAGAGGCCCTCACCTAACAGCTTAAGCTTTTGGGTTAAATTGGTTCTTTACAATCAGAAAGTATCTGACTCCATATAAAAACATGAACTACGAAAAAATTAAGAGATGAGAACACCAACTTCAACTTATTAATTAAATGGTTACAACTGAAAAATGTAAGCAAAATACTATCCATACCACCGCGCTACTCAATTCATAAACGAGATGGTACATCATAAGCAACCAGAAAGTCCAAACAACCTTCAAAATAAGAACTGGCAAATTTAATACAATTTCGAAAATAACAGATGAGTTTGACGTAAAAAGAAAAAATGCATTGATCAAAAGTTAAACTAAAAAAGATGTCTATATTATTTCCCCTTAACTATTACATAAGATGCTTCTTAAAGTCGTTTATAAGGGGTGGAAGGAGAATTGGAGACATAATATGAAAAAGAGAATACTGAGTAATAAATGGATGAGGTCAGAATAATTTTAAGGTCAGCAGGAAAAAAAAGAAAGAAAGTTCATCCTCTACATAAGAAACTAAATACTTGTATACCAAAAGTTGAAAAGGTGACCAAGCTACTTACTATCAAGCTAAGAAAAGTGACGTAAAAGGCATAAAGGAAATTGAAGAAAGAAACAAGGTGAGCAGATATATTAGTAAACACATACATCATTCATCTCGTCTTCCTGAAAATCTTCTATCAGAGGGACTGCAGGCCCATTTGCTGTACGCTTAGCACCTTTCTTTTTCTCCTTATTCACAGTCTCATCAAGCGGATACTTAGCATTGTCATGCTCCAGCAAAGTTAGAAGCTCCCTTCTAATCATTTCATCAGCTTGCTCAATAGAAGTCGGTGGAACAAAGGAACTCTTGTCGCCATCAGTTCGCATCAAGGAATTTCTTATAAGTTCCAATGATGCAGTAGGAGGCCTAGGAAGTTCTCTTTGAAGGACTTTTGATCGTTTTCTAAGTAATGCCTGCTGTCGTGCCTCTTCTTCTGCCTTTTCTCTAGCTATTCTATCAGACATATCCTCTTGAATCTTCTGCTCAGACTCTTCAGCATCTTCTGGAACTGGTTGCATCACTATCTGGTACTCATTTTTAGGCTGCGGAAGGCTGCCTAAACCAGAGCGCAAACCTCTTCTCTTATCAGCTTGTCTTGCTAGCTCAAGTTTAGCACTGTCATGCATATCCATGTCCTCATTAATATGTAGCTCATCCCTTAGAGGAGTTCCCTTTGGAGTCATGCCAAAAGAAATACCATCCCTTGCCGGTGTCATACCACTTCGGGGAGTAAGGCCTGCACCTCCAGGAGTTGCAGAGGGAGTCAGCATTGGGTTTGGAGTCTGAATTTCCTTTTTCTTAGGAGTGACCCCAGAAAAATCTGAAGGATGTAACTCTGGGTTATCTCCTCCTAACAATGGTGTCTGAGACTCCCTTAACCTGGCCAGATTTTCAGCTTCCATCATGATAGCATCTCCTTTACTAGCTGGTGTTCTCTGAGGAGTTCTTAGAGGAGTCATTCCTTGGCTGGGTGTCTGTGCATAATTAGCCAGAAGAGCACGTGTAGCACTGCTACCTTCTGCAAATTCCTCACTTCCTGCAAGGTCACTGGCAGAACTCAACTTTGCAATTTCATCCAATTCATGGTCAGAAATCTGAGGTGGCGGAAGCATCAGTTTTGATCTCTTTCTAACCGTTTCTGGGTCATTCAGCTTGTTGGCGTGCAGAATAGCAGATGGGGCATCTTGCCTTTGTGCAATTTTATTCTTTGCAATGTCTTGCTTTCTTAACTGTGATTCAAGATCAACCCTTCTTTTTCCCTCAAGTTCTTCAATTGTAGTAGGGAACTTGGGCTGTTCCACTGGTCTATCCTCATCAGCAACATCAAAAAACCCTGGAGGAGGCCTCTTCTCGAAGGGAATCTCAGCATTATAGTCTATTCCTTTCCTTTTCCGCCTCCGCTGCCTGATATCAATTCCAGCAGCCTTCAGTTCTCTCTTTTTCTGTAAAGAAGCAAGCCTCCTAGCTTCCTCAAGCTGTTTCTCCCTAGCTTTCCTTTTCGCCTTCTTGCCCTTAGTGTTGGCTAACCGAGCTCGTGCTTCGGAAAGCATCTCCTTCTCATCCTCATCCATATCAACAGGATCCGGGCGTGCGGGCTTTGACTCAGGATTCGGATCAATTTCCCCAGGACGCAATTTCCTCGGGTCATCACCAGGTTCATAGTTATCATCCTTTACACATGCTGCATCAAGTAGTTTCTCATACCGTTCAAGGCACTGAGAAGGGGTACGACCAACAATTGGAGCAATCGTTCTCCACTGAGTGGGCATAAGCTTAGCAAGATGAAGCAGTTTCTCATCCTCTTCTCTTGTCCACTCGGTCTACAAAAAAGCATAAAATCGAGAAATCATTTTCATAGCAGCAGAAAACCTTGGATTTCATGTCCATCATACATAACAGAAATTCTGATGTATAGAAACAATATTAAATGCAAGAATCTAGAGAGAGAGAGAGATTACCTTTTTAATGGAAGGATCGAGCCACTCATACCAACGAGCCTTACATTGCTTAGCAGATTTGCGAACAAGGAGCGAAGAGATTCGAGCCCACTGGTTTTTACCATATTTCATAACAGCTGCTTTCAGGATTTCATCCTCGGTGTTTTTCCAAACACCGCCCTTTATCATAATCCTCATCTTGTTGCGATTCTAGGGTTTTCCAACCTCACAAAAACGAACACCCGAGATGCTGATGATTATGATGATAACCACAAATACAAATGATTTCACAATAGAAACACAAACCTAGCTTTGTTTGTCTATGTCAGTGCAACTGCCACTAGCAACCCTCACTCTGCTGAGTGTGCTCTTCCACCATCAACGTGAAACGCAAAACCTCTTTCCTCATCAAACTTGGAAACCAGAATACAAATATCGTAAACAAAAAAAAAACAAAAAAAAAAAACCCGGTTCAGATTATATGGGCCGGAGGCCCGTTACTTGAGGGCATTGTCCAGTCCACGCTTAATGATACTCTTAATAACTTAAGCCATCACTAATCACATGGTACGTGAATAACAAGAGCTGAACATGCATTAAGATGTTAATAAACATGTTAAAACTATTGAAATTTTGGTACAGAGGGGGAAAAAAAGGGACTAAAGAAGGAATAATTTTTTATAACGATGGTGTAAAAGATGAATTATTCATCTCTATTTATGTTGAATAATGAAGTAAAATAAGGAAATAAATTATTAAATATAAAGAAATTAATTCTATCGAATTCTCTAGGATATTATAGATTATTTTCAAAATATGATTTTAATATCATACAATATTTTTTAGATATTCTAATATTTTTTTAAGGGTTCGGTGTTTGTCATTTTAAATGATGTAAGTTATGTCATATTAGAAGAGAGATAGACACAAGGAATGAAAATCATGCGAGAGAGAAAGTGGGTAGTTTTTTTTTAATTTAAATTTTAAATAATTTTTTTTATTTTGTGTCTATCTCTCTCTTAAAATAACATAAATCTATGTCATTTAAAATTACAAACATTTTTTTTCTTTTCTTAATCTAATTCAATCTCACAATTGTAACAACTCACAATTATAATATTCTATAATGACCCCCTATTTTAAAACTCAATCCCACAAAACATCGAATCCGTCGTACATAAAAATATAACTAAACATTGACACAACATTAGAGAAAATAAAGTTATTGTTTTTCTTTACGAGGTTTTTCATGTAACCGTATACGTAAGTTTCTACATAAATATATATTTAGTAGTTTAGGGATGTAGTCTCTTTAGTGTTGTTATTAATTTATCTTCACTTCTATCTTTATTGAGAATATATTAAAATCTCATGTAAATTGTAATGCCCTCTCCTTCACCACTATCTGACGCATAAAATTCACTATCTTGACTAATTGAAGTGGCAAGATTCCTTTTAGTCTCTACGCTTGTTCAGATTTTTCCTGCAAGAAAATTTAAATGTTCCGTAGAGGTGCAAGACTATTGATTATTTGATTAGAGTAGACTACTAGATCGAGCGCTTCCTCTACATCACAATTCTTTATGCTAGAATGGCATACAGACTCTTGAGAACCATCTTACACTTGGGCATACTTTTGCAAGACACGTCACCTTCATTAGACTACACTTTAAGCAGAAAATGGCAAAACTCACTTCAAAGGACCAAATACTACAAAAGAAAATTTAGTTGTTGAAAAGAGAAACAACTTGGTAGTTTACGTTATCTAAAAAAGTTTAACGAAGGCATGGTGGATTAAAATCTAATTGATTGGCAAAATCCTATGCTCTTTACCAAACGTGTAAAGAGCGCATCACCCACATCCACTCGGCGGAAGTAACGAGGACAAAAATTCGAAAAATACAGGTAACCTTCTCAATAAGCTACTACAATTTATCCGCTGATCACAAATATTACATACTTTTGCCAGTGACCGTCCAATAAACAGGGACTCACTCTCCATGCAATTCATTCAGATAGGGACTCATCAAAATCTGGGTTGAGCAACAACTCAATAATCTATTACCCCCACAAACTTTTCAAACGGGGTGGTTTCTCTTAAACTATTTATCATATTGGTTTACCGCTTCCACGACCTCATCTGGTTTCTCAACATCTCTATCCTCCCCAGTTCCCTCGATACTACTTGTTTCCACTGCAGCACTCATATCTAGTGTGGCCTCTCTGTTTTCAATATAACTGTCAACGTTGTTACCTTCTACCACTTTAGCACTGCCATCCTCAGCAACAGGTGCATCAGGCAATTCAACATCAGTGTCGTGTGTCATTTGCTCTTTACAAGAATCCACATCCATATCGCTTTAGGAGATAGAATTGGCCTGGTCTTGTACAATGTCTACTTGCTGGTCGGCCGTTCCATCATGACATGGACCAACCGATGTAGCACTTCCATTGTCAACGGAGACAGGTACAGCTTCACAAATCTCTGTGCCTGGCACATTAATTTCATCAGTTGTGGCCTCGGTAAGCTCAAGTGCATGATTGTTTGCTTCCATTTCTTCTTGCTGTTGAGCTTGTACCCTGAACTGGTCCATGACATTTTGTGTCCTTTCTAGTTCTGCCATGAGATCCCCATACCTCTTTTGTAAAGTTTTCTCAAGTTCCTTTTGCTTCTGTACTTCTACCCACATATTGTTTATCCTGTGTGATGCTGCCAACTGCTCCTGCTCCTGTAAAGCTTGGAAACACTCTGATTCTGTTGCAGCTATGTCCATCTGCTTGAAAGTGGCCTCAATTTGCGGCCAAAGACTTTTTTTTGACCTTGTCTGAAAATGCAATAGCCAAAGTATGATATTTTAGATTGAGTATGCAAAAGAAGTCAAGAAACAATAAAGATGAGATACAAGATTCTACTTTCCAATATGTTAGACCCTTATGGGGGAAAAAGAGTAACTTCATTGAATGGACTGTGTGAGGGTCCAAAAAAAAAAATGTACTTCCACTTACATATAATAAAAGAACTTTACCTGGAGAAAAAAAACTAACAGGAAAAGGTGCTAAATAAATTTGAAGATCATGCTACTTAAAAATAAAATATCTTCTAGAAAAAAACATTTCATACAAATGGAGCTTTCTTTTTATCTTGGAAGACAGTATGTAAATGTGTCCACTTGAACAATTATAGATATGTGAGTTTGCATGAACTCGCACAACTCTATCTTTCCTTTCTGTTTGGCGGCATCCAAATGATTTCTCAAAATGTAGCATATTTTAGAGATTATAGGTGTTATAAAGAAGTTGTAAAACAACTTTCTTTTGTCCTAACACTTTTATCCAGCATCATAAAGCATAAACAAATTACAATGACAACATCTATCTCTTGATAAAAAGTAAATAAAGGAGTAAAATCATATTTTCTTCAAATACATTCAATTACAAAAAAAGTACATATGTCCCCAAACAATGATGAAATGTATTTCCCTACAAGTGACTGCCACCACATTCCCCACTCATGCGTTGAGTTCTGACAAATTTTCAGTTGCACCAGTTTTAAGTTAGGTTTTTAGCATTTTCAATCACAAAACCAACTTTCAAGGGGCATTCAGACAGCATTGAGACTTTAGAATCTCAATAAAATTACTGCAAGCTAAACATAGTAGACACCTAAAAGTAGTGACACTAACAATAATTAAAGACGACACTGCAAGAAGCAGAAAGCATACAGGATAGCAGTAACATACGTACCTCATAGCCTTGTGTAAGTACTGTCACTTTCTTCTCAAGGCGTACTATCTTCTCCTTACCATCATCCAACTTGCTTCTCACATTCTCAAATTCATTCTGCAAAGCTTCTACCTTTCGCCTTCTTGCCCTTAGTATTGGCTAACCGAGCTCGTGCTTCGGAAAGCATCTCCTTCTCATCCTCATCCATATCAACAGGATCCGGGCGTGCGGGCTTTGACTCAGGATTCGGATCAATTTCCCCAGGACGCAATTTCCTCGGGTCATCACCGGGTTCATAGTTATCATCCTTTACACATGCTGCATCAAGTAGTTTCTCATACCGTTCAAGGCACTGAGAAGGGGTACGACCAACAATTGGAGCAATCGTTCTCCACTGAGTGGGCATAAGCTTAGCAAGATGAAGCAGTTTCTCATCCTCTTCTCTTGTCCACTCGGTCTACAAAAAAGCATAAAATCGAGAAATCATTTTCATAGCAGCAGAAAACCTTGGATTTCATGTCCATCATACATAACAGAAATTCTGATGTATAGAAACAATATTAAATGCAAGAATCTAGAGAGAGAGAGATTACCTTTTTAATGGAAGGATCGAGCCACTCATACCAACGAGCCTTACATTGCTTAGCAGATTTGCGAACAAGGAGCGAAGAGATTCGAGCCCACTGGTTTTTACCATATTTCATAACAGCTGCTTTCGGGATTTCATCCTCGGTGTTTTTCCAAACACCGCCCTTTATCATAATCCTCATCTTGTTGCGATTCTAGGGTTTTCCAACCTCACAAAAACGAACACCCGAGATGCTGATAATTATGATGAGAACCACAAATACAAATGATTTCACAACAGAAACACAAACCTAGCTTTGTTTGTCTATGTCAGTGAAACTGCCACTAGCAACCCTCACTCTGCTGAGTGTGCTCTTCCACCATCAACGTGAAACGCAAAACCTCTTTCCTCATCAAACTTGGAAACCAGAATACAAATATCGTAAACAAAAAAAAAAACAAAACAAAAAAACCCGGTTCAGATTATATGGGCCGGAGGCCCGAGGGTGTAACAGCTCGTTACGTACCGGTATTGTTAACATTAATTATGATATTAATCGCAGTTACAATCACAGCAATTCATTAATAAAAATACGAATAAACTTTTTTCGATTATTACACGAGCATTTAAAACAATAAAACCTGTAATAATTAAAAGTGGTGACAATAACTGTTAACTCTTGCGAATATTTATTTTATCTATTTTTACATCACAATATACTTATTGGAAGATACTAAGGGGTTCCCATAAACTCACTTAGCCAATTATCAAACTTTACGTTTTTACCTATTCGAACATGGTTCACTCCTAAATTTTATGCGAACACACCGCTCACAACCAGACCTCATTCTCAGGTTATTTCTTTGTCTTACATAATTCCCTTTTCAACAAGCTACCACACGCTCAATTCGGAGCTCATTTGCTTCGGTTATCGCCGTTTGAAGTTGGATAAGCGAAATAGTCAACCAACCTCAAAACAGCTCCAAAACCACTTACACTTCTCGAATTACTGCGCACAATCCACTTATCCAATTGCTCTCAAATTTTTATCCTACAAACTAGACATCTCAAACTTCATTTTGGTGTATCACACGCTCAATGTGACTGAGAGACGAAGCGGGAATTAATTTCCCGAAAACTGGCCAGAACAGCCCCTGCATCAGAGGTCCCTAGACAGTCCGAACTCAATAAATTCCACAGGGCTTCGTACAACCCAGAACTGTCTCATATTTTAACACCATATAGGGGACATCTCAAGCTTCAAAATGGCGTATGGCACGTCCCTATCGGACATCTGTAGAGGGAGATATGCTCTCCCGAAGTTCACCTAAAATTTGCCAATTCTACAGAAAATTCGCGAGAGTTTCCTTTGTTTTTCCAATAATCCCCAAATTTGTACAAGCTCACTAATGCCTCAAAGTACCTAATAATCCAATGGGTGGCACACACAAGGACCAACAACGCCTTGGGGCACTTACAACCCAATCCAGTTTATAGTTATTAGGCAGTTTATACTATAGAGCTCACATTATATTCCTTACTTGTTTCAATCACAAAGGTCCCATTTACATGTAGTTTCACAATATAAGCATATAATCATAACTCTAACATAGGCCTAAAATCCTTCCATCTTAGTACATCATGCATCTCTTTTACATCTACAACATATACTTAAATATTACAACTTACGACTTCAACTTCAAATTACCCTTTACAATATTACAACTCCAATTACAAATTTAAACATAATTCAAATGATACACACTACTAGACCTAGGCATGCCAACATGAACAATATGCCAAATACTGAAAATGTTCCTCTATCACTCTACGGGCCTCTTGCCCGCTGCTCCAACGCCACAGGTACATCCTGAAATAAATGCCCCGAGACGGGGTGAGATATACGAATATATCTCAGTAACCCAGAGGTTCTGGAGAAAACTCCACCCAATTGTTCACTTCGATGCATATCAATAGAATAAAACAATCACTTTGAAAACGGGATATAGCAAGGGATTTAGAGAAACTGGGAGATATCGGAATACAAAATACGACGATACGAGATGGTAGCTACCAATACCACGCACGCCCTGGGCATATATAAGCCTATGGGTCCACCCAAGGTGTGATCAAATCACTACCACCAAGGTACCCATCCCATCAAGCCTATGGGTCCACCCAAGGTGTGATCAAATCACTACCACCAAGGTACTCATTCCATCCATAACACCTGAGACATTCCTAGTGTGCTCCTATCCGGATCACACACTATGACCCTCGGTCAACTGGAACTCCCTCCTGGAGACCTATCCAGTGAAAGTCCGAAACTGCCCGAAGGCTAAGAAAACTGTCTACTGGCCAGAGACTCGATACATAAGTACCCATTGTAATAATGCATGCATGCTCATGTGTTCTACACTACTCATACACACTTCCTACCGTTGCCATCAACTGGCAAGGTGGAACAGAAAAGGGGAACAAGCCCCAGTACCAAGAGGTTACCTTAAATATTGTTTTCACAAGCTCCGCAGCAGCTTATTCTTCAACTTAGTACACAACAGAATGCCTACAAAGAGGACATTCCCAATCACTTATAGTTCAACCAATACATGCTAATTTGCAATTATACATGCATTGAACCAATTACTTACCTCAATCCTCTTGGTCCCGAACCAAGGGCAGCTCACTGATTCAAGATTCGGGATTCAGGTCGACGTACGGCAACCTATACAATGACGTACAACCATCAGTACGCGTCAAATAACGTCAAAACGCCAAAAATCACAAAATCACCTCACCCACACTTGGTAGGTTCGGTCATCCTAGACTTATTTTCAATTTTATTTTTCTAAATTTTCTTTCTCATTTTATTACGCCTCAATATGTTGCCAAGAGGTCAGTTCAAGTGTCGTTTCGCCATTTTCGCGTCGAATTACATCAGAACGCGAAAATCGCAAAAATCCCCCCTTCCTCCTTGAAGGTTCGGCCATCTATGTGTTATTTGGAGATTTATTTTTCTAACTTTTCTTTCTCATTTTAGTACCCATCCTTGGGTTGCCATAAAGCCATTTCAAGTGTCGTTTCGCCGTTTTACGTCTTTTGAGCATCGTTTCGCTAAATAGTTCGTTCTAGGTTCATTTAGGTCTCTAAACACAACTCATTTTTCCCATTGATTCAAACACTTTCCAACCACAACACAACCCATCTAAGTATCATATAACTACACCAATCATCATCCAAATCATTTTTCAACATCAATTCCTCAATTTTTCCCACAATGGTCGAATTATACCCTAGGGAATCCCAAAAGATTTATTTCCATTTTCAACCATTCCTAAACTCAACCAATCACATTATATCATCATTCTATCATACAACAACTCATTATCAACATCACAACACATTTTTCCAAAATTCCATGTCATGACCATCAAATTATTCTAAGTTAAAATCATCAATTTTCACCTAAAATTTTCATTGCAATTCTAGCTTTAATACATCATTCTAACACATTATCATCTAATACACATTTTTCATTTGAGCTCTCTAACACAACACATCATAAAATCCCTCTTTAGGGTTCATAAACACAATTCACAAATCAACCATTGAAATGTTGAAATAACTCACCCAAATGCAAGGTAAATGACTCCTCCTGAGCATACTCCACCATTGGAGCAATTGAAAGCTCTAAGAACCCAAAAATTCTCCTCCAAACCGCGGCCTAAATGGGAAAGGATCTCAAAATTCAGCCACTTTCACGGTTCAAGGATGCCACCAATGGCTTTAGAAGACAATTTCCAACAAGATTCAAGTCAAACCTTGTTGGATTTGGTTAAGATTTGACCAAGTTATGGAAGAAAGAAAGCTTGAACCATTCTTGGCCATGGGGGCTGCTGTGTACGCGGGAGAGAAGAGAGGGAGGAGAGAGAAACTTGCATGAAAATGTAACTTTTAAGTTACTTAAGGTCTGGGTGGGTCACACGCGCGATTTAACTTTAATCCAATTATCAATTCCAACTATAATTTCATAATCTACTTATTTTTCTGGTTAATGACACATTTTTGTTTCCTAAAAATATTGATAAAAATTTCACGCTTATCAGTACACTTATACCGCAGTATTTTACACCGGAAAAATCACTATTCACTGATTTTTCTGAAACTTGCCTGTCCACTTAATTTTTCGTTCTGAATCCATTTCCAGGGTTATTTTTACCATTTGAGACCTTCTACTCAATTTTTATCTTCCTAGGATTGCGTGTTGGCTAATTACCGTTTTGCCCTTTCTTTGTATTTTGACATAATCTTTAGGATCTTCACTAATCCTTCACTTAAATACTCACTTAATATTTTAAATATTTAACTTAGAAATGTGAAGTGTTACGGAGGACATTGTCCGGTCCACGCTTAATGATACTCTTAATAACTTAAGCCATCACTAATAACATGGTACGTGAATAACAAGAGCTGAACATGCATTAAGATGTTAATAAACATGTTAAAACTATTGAAATTTTGGTACAGAGGTAAAAAAAAAAAAAAAAAAAATTGGACTAAAGAAGGAATAATTTTTTATAACGATGGTGTAAAAGATGAATTATTCATCTCTATTTATGTTGAATAATGAAGTAAAATAAGGAAATAAATTATTAAATATAAAGAAATTAATTCTATCGAATTCTCTAGGATATTATAGATTATTTTCAAAATATGATTTTAATATCATACAATATTTTTTAGATATTCTAATATTTTTTAAGGATTCGGTGTTTGTCATTTTAAATGATGTAAGTTATGTCATATTAAAAGAAAGATAGACACAAGGAATGAAATTCATAGGAGAGAAAGTGGATAGTTTTTTTTTAATTTAAATTTTAAATATTTTTTTTATTTTGTGTCTATCTCTCTCTTAAAATAACATAAATCTATGTCATTTAAAATTACAAACATTTTTTTCTTTTTTTAATCTAATTCAATCTCACAATTGTAACAACTCACAATTATAATATTCTATAATGACCCCCTATTTTAAAACTCAATCCCACAAAACATCGAATCAAATGACAGTATTGAATAGCATCTAGAGAACTAGTTTAAAGTTAGGTTACTATTGATTCTATTTTATTAGTAAGTTATTGATAAGCCATTTATCAATATTATTATAAATATGGGAAAAAGTATCTAATGTTACCTTAGACAACTTTGTCTAATGTTCATCGAAACGACGTCGTTTTGGGGTTGAAAAATTAAAAAATTAGAATGATAAAGATTATTATAATCCTGAAATAAATTAAAATTACAAAAACACCATGATTTCTGCTCCAAAACGACATCGTTTCGATGAACATTAGATAAAGTTATCTAAAGTAACTTTAGAAAAAACAAACCCTACAAATATTTCCTGAGATTTATGATGTATCATTGACTTTTAGAAAGAAACAACCTCTGATATTGTTAAAGATAATTTGTATGACCTAGATTTGCTTTGATTAGTCAACCTTGTTTAGGTGATCCAGTCAAGATAATGGACTGTTTCTTGCATTAATCCTGTCAAACTCGAACAGTCTAATTAATTCAGATAATCCAGATCTTGCTTTTTTTTATAAAAAAAAATGGGTTTTGCTTTCGTATTGTTGCAGTAACCATTTTTTTTTCTGCAAAGCAAAATGACAACATAAATAATAATAAAAAAATTGTAACAAATACTCTATTCAATAATTATCTTTTGTCTGTAACTTTGCATAATAGTAAACTTTTTCCTGTAAAATGATTGTTATTTATCCCAAAAAATATATATATTGCCAAAATTATGTTTTTATTTCTTTGACTTAATTTTATTTTATTTGAAGAGTTTTTTTTCCCACTTTGTATAACATATTAACATGCTTCTCTTCCTTTTCTTCCCTTATGTACTGTCTAATAAACCGCTTTTAGTTATTTATTTAATAAAATATTTTAAAACTCCTTTTTGGACTCTTGTTATTAAAACTGTAATGTTAAATCATATAATTTTAAATATCACAAATAAATTATTGTATCAAAAATATAAAATATTTTTAATTTAATACTTTTTATTTTTAATCTTATCCAATTTTTTGATCCACGGTCAAATTGATCTAATTAAAAGCATATCTTTTTTAAAGTTCAAAGCTATTATTAAGTTAAAGTTAAGAAAATAAAAAATAAAGTTAAAAGTTATTTGATAATTTTATACTGTTATTCTTAGGGTTACGAAGGGAGGGAGATGAAATAATTTTATTTTATTTTTTGGTAAACAAGATAAAATAATTTATTATAGGGTAAATAATAAAATTTATAACTAAATTTTTTGAATAAGAGTAAGAACTCCTAAAAAAAACTGACATTCATCTTAAAAAAAGCTCCTCTAAGAGTTTTTAGCGTTTAACTTTTTTTCTTTATTATAAAAAAATTTCTTTTATGATTAGAGCTTTTGAAAAATTATATTTAACTAAATTTCTATTTATAAAAAAAATTAAAATAAAAGCTCCCGAACACGCACTAAATGAACATCAGATTCTAGTCATATAATTATGCTATAAAACCTTCTTGCACCTGAAAAACAAAATGCAACGAGATAAACAAAAATTGATATTTACTTATTTTATGAATTGAATATAAAAAAACTGTACTTTATTATCAACCTCACATTTAATGGGATTAATGTTGTTGTAGGAAATAATTTTATTTTTTACACAAACATAAAAATGCGTAAAACCCGTATAAAGAAAAGAAAGAGAAAAAACAAATATAAATCTCATACACTTTTATAAATGTGTAAAAAATAAAATTATCTCTTACAATATAAAATACGAATACCCATTTTTATTGTACTAAGTAAGCGTAGAAATAACCCATTCATACGTAGTCAAATGAGGTACCTCAGATGTTACAAATGGAATCCCCAACCAACCTTTTTTTTTTAGTCTGAATATAATAGATAAATAAGAAAATGGGCAAGACTATACCATGATATGAACAGTCCAACTAAGAAATTAATAAAAAGGTAAAGGGGCAAGACTATATATATATATCATACACAACATTCAACCGTAACAAAATTTGAAATTAACACTATTCCTACTTTTAACAAGGTAAATTGCATTTCTCGTTTGACAAAATTCGAGAGTGAAACACCGGAAGAATTCAGTTAACAATAGAAGGGGAAAAAAAAAGGAAAGAAAATGAAAAAAGTATTTCTATGATGACTAGATGCAAGGTCTTCGTCTTCAAGAGAGCTCCACTATCTATAATAAGATGCCAAAATATAAAGCATGACTGCCGATGAAGCGGTGATTATCAACTCCTGCAGATACCATAAAGGCCATCATATTGTCAACTAATTACAAGCAACATACAAGGACCAATGGCATAATACACCACTTTATCAAGATAAAACTGTTTTAGCCAGACAAAGTAATTAGCTGTGCTGTTTTAGTCAACAAAAAATAAAGCTAGTAATAAAAGTGATGTATGATCTTATTTCCAAGAGTTAACAATAACACCAATGCATGCCAGCAACTGTGTCATTGAACAAACAGCTTACAGCTATCACATTTTTTTTTTCTTTTTTGTGGTAAGCAAGAAACCAAGCTAGTTTTCATTTTTTTCACCTCCCAGTACACCTCAAAACTAAGTCAGTTGCATGACACATATGAAGTCAGATTAAATGTCAATTTTGGTCTTCCAAGGATTTTTGCGTAATGCCACTGGCCCTCCATTTATACACACATCAGATCAGTTTTCTAAAGATACACGCGACATCATGGTTTTTCAATTTCTTCACATTTTTGCTATCAAATCGGTCCTTAAAATGACATCAATTTGGTATTTGAAGGACAAAATTAATGCCACTAATTACTAATGAAGGACAGTTTTGATGTACTAAATTACTAATAAAAGTAATGCCGAAACAGTAACCAATTGGCTAAACAGAAAATAAGAACGAAACAAGAATTGCGAGAAAACACTTTTCTCTTTTCTTAATTTTATTTAACCAAAAAAGACCTCCTAACAATAGGGTTCTCCAAGCCTTGAATAAGCAAAATAAAAATAACAAAAAAGTAAAGAACTATAATCATGCGCAATCAAAGGAGATAACGCACAATCAACGCACACTCAAACGTAATATAAAAATAACAAAAAGAAAAATAATTAACAATTATTGAAAAGCTCTAAACTATGGAATAAATTATAGAAAAGTCCAATCCAAATCAGTCAGCTCGGGTGCATCAAAAAGGAGGACCAATAGTATATGTTTAGAGGACCAAAATGAATGTCTACTCTATAGTTAATAAAATACATAACATCATGGAGATTTTATATTGCAAAGGATGCGCTAATAGGAGAATTGCAACTGATCAAAAAGATTCAAGAAAACATCTGTTAGTACCTTCAATTGTTCAAGAGACAAAGTCCTGAAGGTTGCATCTTTGCTTTGAAAATTAATCTTATTATACATCCCAAATTCTTATGCACATTAAGAAACATAGGCAGTTAGCCAATGAAATAATGGTCCTAGTGCATAATATATTATGCTTGAATGGCAACCATTGCCTTCAAGTGTATTAAAAAATAACACTCGTGCAACCAAGATATAGGTTTAAATCATGAATCATGATCATAATCATTCATCTCTTTGCTGCATAGGGAAATCAGGAATAAAATGCATTTGACAAGAAAACAATGTAGAAGAAACTTCCAGAGTTCCAAAGGTAAATAAACTGCAGGACCTGCGTCATATTATTCACAAGGATTCTGGACAATTCTATCTTATATATGTTAAGCCAGGAAGGACTTCTCATTTATTTATACCTGACTGCTGTAAAGAAAAGCAGGAATATAACCACTTGCATACTCAAATATGTTCAAAACGAGAGTGTATGCCTGCAAGAAATGCACCAGAATGAAAATTAAATAATTCCGAGGAATATTAATATGTGATAATGATGATAAGGAAAAAAAAAAAACTTAAGGCGTGTTCGATTAAGATGAATATTGAGTGACAAATGAAATAGAATTTTCCATCAAAAACTAAAATTACAAAATATATATAGTTTGGGCACCATTGATCTCTATCTCCAATCTCTCCTAAAACCAATATCTTGCAAAGTTTGGTCCCAGTGGGAGTCCAACACAGTACCAAAACCAAATTTTGTAAATCAGCTACCACAAATTTCTTCTTTCAAAATAGTCTTCAAATAAGAGGTTCAACGAAGATTAAAAATTTAATTATGTGTGTGTACAACTTTTCAGAATACCATGATGAAAACAACTTGGGTTTGAACTTAAGTAAACTGAAAAAAAAAAGAATACGATAAGGTGAACTGATCCCTCTCTCCCTTCCTCCTTCTTACTTCTTTTCTTTTTCCTTTTTTTCAGAGAAAAAAAAAATTAGATATATTATATTATATCAGCTTCTTTGTTAATTGCAACCGAGGCTAAAAAATTGACAAAGTATTGATCTGTGCAAATTAACTGTCACGCCAAAAGATCTGATGAAACATCATACCAAAGATGAAAAAGCTACACATCCAAAAATCAAGGCCAGTGATCTGATCAGTCGTTTTCCCATGCGCAGTCCTTCTCCTGTATCCTCACCATCTTCCTGCAGCCAACAGCACCATGAGCTATCCAATTCTATTGATGATTCAACATAGTTCAAAAACAAAAGATTTTAAGATTTCTCTGAACATGCTGCCATAGAATATGAAACTCACATTATATATTGGGGTTACAGGAGATTCAAAGGATTTTAACTTCTCAAAAAGCCTATAAACAAAAGCAAAGGCTAAAAACTGCAAAGGTTTATATTCAGCATTGCGCTTGACAAGGATCCAAGCTGTCTGCAAACAGATGGTAAACAATTATGATTAAAAACTACAACATAAAACACAAGACCATTATGGTTTCTGTCTTTCCGAGCATTGATGTTTTCAAAATAAAATAAAATAAAATAAAATCACCCTCCATTTACTACTCACAAAGACAGCGGAAATTGCCAAGTTGATGCGTATATCATTTGTACTTGATTTGGTAAACCTGAAATTGCATTGAAGGACAAAATAGCATCAAAAGATTACATGTAGCTGTTAATAGAGTGATAGTGATAGGGGAAAAACAGTAATTTGAAGAAAACATAAAACACCACAAAATAAACACTAGAAATAAATGCCATCCATCCATGCAAGCAGGTTATTCAAATGGGATGAAAAGAAACTAATCTAAATACAAGTGATTCCCAACATCTCTACTTCACAAGGGAAAGACACCATCATCATCTCTAAGCAGTAATATAAGAGTTATTGAGACAGCTCTCAAGCAAATTCACACAGCAAAGCAGCTCCAGTCATGAGCTACCAAATCATCCAGACAGGAGAATGTCAACCTAGAGAAGTTAAATATTCAATAGCTCATTAAAGTAAGGATTATACTGTTGGTAGTTATTTTATTGAGCCAATGGTAGAAACAAGAATATACTGCAATAAAACTACAATGTCATGAATCATAAGAAGCAATATCAAACCTTGGCCCCCAAGGTATAATTGGCTGCTTGTCGGCATACTTGATGTCCTTTGAAACCTGCATTTAGTTTTGAAGTTGTACAAGATTGAGACACACACACAAAAAAAAAAAATACAATCAAATACTTGGAAAAAATAGGATGAAGGCACAATATGACATAAATGAAGTGGAGGAACAAACTTTTTTCACAAAATTATCTCCTATGGAGATAGTTGAATATTTTCCAATATTTAATACCCAATCATAACCCTTCATCATGTCATTCTGTCCAACCCAAAGCAGCCCAAAGAAAATAATGAAAAATATCAAGAATTCAAGATAATAATGCATTAACTCCTCCCAAATTCTTCATTGCCACAATGTATAGGCAGCTTATGTTCATTTTGAGCAGGAAAAAATAGTCAAAAGAGATGTTCAATAAAATTATAGCTACTTCATCAAAGGAACTCCGGTGAATATAGAATGCATCAAATACATCCAGAACTAAATTATCGAAGTAGCTTCAATCTCAAACACAAGTTAAACAAGAAGAATCTGTGTCGTCATGCCTTCAAGTTATGGGTGCAATTCCGAGTGTACAGGAAAAGAAAGATTCCCCTACTTTACCTTAAATGATCCAAAAGTCACACCCTTTTTCCGATTTGTCAATTGAGCCATCATGACTTTGTCATATGCCTTTTCCAGCTGGATTACACATTTAAAATGAACAAGGACCCATGTGTTAGTGCATTAAACTTGCAGGAAAATCATATATCGATATGGATTGTTAACAACCTCACAAATATAGGAATAATCAAAAGCATTATGTAGTAAAAGCCATTTCCATCACTTAGGGCGTGGCGTGCATATTATAATTTTGGTCAAGATGGTAAGCATGTGTGAGCTTTAAGTTGGTTGGGAGGGGTTAGCAGCAGAGACCTTAACTATATATATTGCTCAACTCATAATCTTACTTTCCAAACATGAATGTAATTAATCAACCTCACCCATTTGAAACTTGGAAAACTATCAGTAATGACATCAAAGATTGTCGCATATGTTTTTAGTGACCAAAACCTTATTCACCAAAAAAAGGAGGGAAAAGTTAACCTACTCTGGAAGCAGTTGCTTCATCGCCGTTCATCTCAGCCTCCTTCCTTTTTTTTGTATATGCTGCCTTGATCATGTCAAATCTCTCAATGGGGCTTACACCCAGAACCTATAAGATGATAGCGTAACAACTAAAACACAGAAATAGCCAATTCAACTTGAGTGACTTCAAATCTAAGATTATGAACTAAATAATACCTCATAAGGATTGAAATCATTGTCAGGATTAGAGTTTCCTGCTGCAGAAGCAGCTGCACAGATAATCTTTCTACCACTCCATGATGTTGTTTTGGGATACCTGAAAATTCAAACCATATTGCATTTTATTAACGGCAATAAATTTGCAAAAGGACCATAAAGAGGAGAAACACATCTTATAAGAAAAATAAGTGAATTTGCAAGAAAAAAAAAAAAAAATTAATTCAGAAAGAGAGAAATGAATAACCTGAGAGAGGTAGAAATTCTGGGACGGAAATTCTTGTGGGAGAAACTCGAATTGGGGCAGTGCAGTATGTTCGAGATTGTCAATGCCATTGAGCAGCTATGCTATCACTTCGACTAACGGTAATGGATGTCTGAATTTTGAGTTCAAGAGTTTTGTAGGGTTTTACTTTTATCTTCTTTGTAGAGTCTCAGCTATCAATAATTTTCCACCCAATCAGTATTGAAAAAAATGGCCATTAAAAATTAAATCAGCTTAATTTTTTTTAATTACATTTCTAATATTAAGCGTCATTTTAATGATTTTTTCAAAGTTTTTATCAATAAATTAAGGAAAAAATATTTGTCCCGCCACTGATAAAGTTATATTTTCATAATTTCATTTTTTTTTTGATTATATGAATTTATTAAAACATGTTCATTAATTCTTTTAATTTTCAAAATGCAATAATTTTAGAGTTATTGGATATAATTTTATCCGTTTATCTTATATGACTAGAGAAACAATAAACCCATAAATTAATCCTCAAATGTTAAGTATTACAAAATTAGTTTTTCAAACAAAAAAAATACTATTCCAAAGATGATACCATTTATTTACAATTTTTAATATTATTTTATTTTAAAAAATGTATATCCTACTGATAAAGTTATCTCCAACCATTTTAAAATTACGTCGTTTTAGAGATTGAGAGAATTAATTAAGGATGTTTTGATAAAATTTATATAAACAAATAATTTTTTTAAAACATCTTTTATTAATTCTCTTAACCCTCAAAATGATATAATTTTAAAGTTACTCGATATAACTTTATCTACTATGGCAGGAGAAACAATAAACCCTAATTGATTACATAAAAAAAATAACAAGACGATGAAAACATACTAAGTGCTTATTTGGGAGTTTTTTTTTAACTTATATTTTTCTTACAAGTAGAAATTAGGCCAAACAAGTTAAAGCTCTTATCATATAAATTTTTTTTTTATAATGAAAAAAAAGTCGAAAGTTAAAAGCTCCCCCTTTTTAAATTGTATCAGTTTTTTTTTGTTTTGAAATATGTGTTGTTGTTTTTTTAATGAATAGTTTTTAAGTAAATTTTAAGCTAAAAATTTTATGTAATCATCAAACAACTTATAGTTTTATTTTAAAGCAAATGAGAGAGGTGAGAGCATGTATTTGATCATTCTCAGTACCATTTTTGAGAGGATTTTAAATTTTTAATTCTGAAACTGCTTTGAACTCCGGATTAGTCCACAAAAATTCTATGAGATTAACGAAGGTATCATCTAAAAAAAAACAAAAAACAAATCTTTTCTTTTTAACTTGAACTTAAAAGTAATTTTTAACTATTTGATATATATATATATATATATATATATATATATATATATATATATATATATATATATATGGGCTTAACATTTCTGCAGCAGCCGTAGATAGTGTTATCTACAGCTGACACAGAAAAGTGGGCCCCACGGCTTTTTTTATAAAAAAAAAAAAAAACTCAGGATCCGTTGCCGTATCCTAAGATTCGGACGTGTATCCTTGCTTGCAGTAGGTACAGCAGCTGCAGAAATCATTTTGCCTATATATATATATATATATAAGGTTATGTTTATCTCATTTTACATATATAAAGTTATGTTTATCTCATTTTACATAAGAAAAACAATTTTTCTCAACACACAAAAAGAAATTGGATCACATCACTCTTTTTTCTCTCTTCTCTTATATGTGGGTCCCACTTATACTTTAATTTCTATAACATGAAATAACTTGTTTCCTACAATATAAGAAAAATATATCTCATATATATATATAGAGGTAGGATCCTTTGATAACGGTGTCAAATTTGAAATTTGATATCGGTCGTCTAAGAGTCGTTAGATAAAAAAAGATCAACGACTCTGATTTGTAAGCATGTGACATCATTGATTTTTTTTATCTAACGGTTCTCAGATGAGGTGTCAAACTTCAAATTTGACCCTGGTGACAAAGTATCCTACATCATATCTCTTTCTATATATCTATATCTATATATATATATATATATATATATCTATATGGCTTAGGATCATTTTACACCAGTGTAAGTTTCACTCTTAATCTTGTCCGCTAATCCCACTTATATCTAATGGTTCACATTTTTTAGTAATGTGAGTCATTGGATACAAGTGGATCAATGGTCAAGATTGAGTGTAAGACTTCTAACTCTTACACCGTTGTAAGAATATCCTTTACCTATATATAGGTAAAGTTGTATCATTTTAAGAGAGAGAAAGAGATAAATAAAGGAGAAGAGAGAGTTGACAAAAAAATAAAGATTTGGGTCTCACTTCTTTGCGAGAGTGAAAGAATATAAGTTGTGTCATTTAAAAGGATAAATATTTTTCTCATATATATATATATATAGGGGCAGGATCATCTTACACCGGTCTAAGAATAATAAATCTTACACCAAATCTTAATCATTGATTTTCTACATCTAACGGTTAAGATTTATTAGGTCTCACTCATTAATTAATTTTTAATTCCCAATAAATCCCAACCATTGGATGCACGAAAATCAACGGTTAAGATTTGGTGTAAGATTTATTATTCTTACACCGGTGTAAGTTGATCCTATCCCATATATATATGGGATTTTTTTTTACACCGGTGTAAGATTTGTCACATGCTTACAAATCAGAATCGTTGATTTTTTTTAATCTAACGGCTCTCATATGAGGTGTCAAACTTTTTTTTTTGACACCGGTGTCAAAGGATCCTGTCATATATATATATATATATATATATATATATATATATATATATATATATATATATATAGGCTCCAACCTTTTTACCTAAGTTACATCACAACCCGTTAGGCGATTACGGGTTAGCTTTGAAAGCCCAAACAAACACAGGCGTTGTTTCGAGGCAAGATTCATTGGCAAAAAAAAAGTATACAGACCTCGACTCAATTCATTATCAAGTTTGCGTGGCCTAATGGATAAGGCGCTCGCCTCCGGAGCGGGAGATTGTGGGTTCCGAGTCCCACCGTGGACGGAGTCTTTTGGTAGTTTGATAACTTGATTAACATTTACATACTTCACCTTTGCAAAATAAGATCACCATATGATACTTTTAAAATTGGAGCAAAATTGAAGAAATAAAATTCATTTAAAATTTTAGTGCATTAGATGTACTCATATTTTTTTTCCACAAGGAATTTTTTATCCAATGTGGCACAAATTTTATTTTGAAAAATGGTGAAATTTTTTCTAAATATGGGGGAAAATACTTAATTAGATACATATGATGCACCAAAAATTTGTTCAATCCTATCGTATTCAGATCAAGGGGTTTACATGGATTAAATTGAACTGAATTTTTTGAAAAATGATATGCATGTGTCGAATTGAACTGAATTTTTCGAAGAATGGTGTGCATAGGTCGAATTGAACTGAGTTTTTTGAAACACTGAAGCTAATTGGTTTAAATAGTTCAATTCAGTTTGAAAATGGTTCGGTTCGCCTTGAAATCGGTTCGGTTCAGTTCGAAAACGATTCGGGTCGAATCTATTCTGAAAAGAAAAATAAAATAAAAATTAAAAAAATAAAGTAATGAAACAATTAGTTTCGAAAACGATTTGATTCGATTATTGAACTGGTTTCTAAAAATCAGTTCGGTTCTTGAACTGATTCTTTAAAAATCAGTTTAATTCATCAACTGTTTTTTCAAAAAACAGTTATTTTAAATGCTTACACATCCACGAAATGATTGTTATTGCAATGATCCATAAGAATTACATAATTGAAGATTTAACTTGAAGTCAAATAGTGTCTTTGCTTCAAATGACAGTCAACGTAACTTGTGCCTTTATATGTCTTTACTGTCTAATTTCTCAAGCGTCTATTAAATTTTTTTTCCCATTCATCTTTATTTTGCCAATTTGCACAGCCAATATAGATTATCTAAGTTTTATACACAAACAAAAAGCTGAAACCAAGATTGACATATAAGAAAAATTAAGGACTGAGGCAGATATATAAATTATGCAATCTATCCCTATGGCTGCCCTGATTTGATGAAAACATTGTACCAAAATTCCATTTCATCACTGATCTGACTAGAACCATTATTGCCTATGGTTTCTCCTGAAGTATCACGAGAGACTGCACTGTAAAATCCTGATGGATTCATCCTTGAGGGTATACCATAATTGGCAATCATTACTTTGCCAGCATCCTCCTCTACTCCTGGTGGCATGGTCATTAGAGTCCCCGAACTATTTGCTTGTCCCTCTTGCAAGATATATGAGGAGCTATTGCCATTTTGCACCTCACTAATTTTCTTCATCCTCTTCTTCAAATGGGTATGCCAAAAATTCTTTATTTCGTTGTCTGTTCTTCCTGGTAATCTTGCAGCAATAGCAGACCATCTGAGCATCAAAGGGCTTCACTATAAGTAATTCATTTTCATCTTTTATTACTTGATCAAATTCAATCATATTTTATAATATATACTATACATATGATATCTCTTCTGCAAACAGTATGCTAGGAGTTACATGACATCTTTATGCTAGAACACACAAGAGTCAATATTATATTATATTATGTTATGTACTCACTCACCTATTTCCAAGAATTTCATGTAGCTTTAGGATGGTATCTTCTTCTTCCTTGCTGAATTTCCCTCGTTTAATATCTGGTCTCAAGTAATTTATCCAACGAAGCCTACAACTCTTGCCACACCTTAACAAACCTAAACAATCATATCATATAATCATATATTAGACAATTCATCTATCTAAAATAAAATAAATTAAAACATTTGTTCAGTCTTTGCAGCTGGTTTAATTATACAAAAAAAGAAAATGTTATTAGCTTGTATAGTCTTAGCCAGACCTAGTAATTAATGATTATACAAAGAAAAAGGAATATAATTTACACTGACCAGCTTGTTTAGGAAGCGCACGCCAGTTTTCATGGCCGTATCGTTGAATATGAGAAATCAATATATGATCTTCTTCAGCAGTCCATGGTCCCTTCTTCAATCCCATCTTCTCACAACAAGGAGTAGGTGCCATGGTCACTATTGCACTGAACAACACAATAATGTGTCACTATTCCTCTGTACTAACTTGGTGCCTCAAGTTCTAATTTCAAGGTAGCTTCAGCTTCTCTATTACTATATCCCTGAAAATATATATGCGGTTCAAACAAACAGCATGTTTTTCAAAAAAAGTACTTGATAGTGATACCATATTTCTTTTGTGGGTTTTCCAAATCCCTTTTTACTTGTCAAGAGCACGCACAGTTGAAATTGAATATATGGTGACCCCGATCACAAATTCATAATACATAGATGGGCCACCCGAAGAAACTGTTACCATAATTTTTATATGCAACAAAAACGACTTTTAATGGTTTTGTCACAAAGTACCATTGCTTTTAGACTCTTAATTGAGCTTCGAGGTTGCTTCTCTTCAAAACTTGGCTTACTGTAATCATAATTTGGATACAGAGGTCAAAAGTAGTCTGCGCCACGGACTCATTTGTGTCTTACTACTGTTCCTGCCGCCTCTTTCCATTATCCTCGTGAAGTGCTACCATGTTCAATCTTTAATAATTTCAGCTTTCAATTTATTAATTTTAGAAGAAAAAAAAATGGAGCCATATATTGTAATTACTTTTTATGGTATTGTTATGTCCGAGGTAGATGTCTAATGCAGATGATTCACGTTGGATCTAGTGTTTTCTCTTTTTCTTTTTCTTTTTTGAGTTAACCAACTCTAATTATCTCTTTGAGACGAGTTGGCTCCTTCCGGTATCCCCACGAGCTTCGACTAGATACCTATGAATTAAGTATTTTGGGAACAGCGAATCTCGACACACTATACAACGACCTTAGCCAAGGAGGAGTGTGTGCGTTGTGTGATTACATAAAAATAAGATTAAAAGAGATCAGTCATACCTGTGATTTTTAGCTCTTATTTATAGTGCTTACTTTTGAGCTTGTATCACTTGGACCTTCTGTGGACATAAGTTTCACTCAGGTCCATAACAGGTATCAAATTTCAATTAACTAATTTTAGAAAGATAAAAAATTTGTTACCCTCTATTAACCTGGTGCTTAAAGTATTTAATTCAGTTATATTTACTTTGATTTTAGAATTTGATTTCATATATATAGACCCACTCGTGATACATGTATATATTTGATCGGGAAGGAACATACCGAGACCACACTTTATGGTATTTGATAATAGTTTAGTTGATGTCAGGCAACTCGTAGATGGAGATGAGAGCATGTGTTCAGTCTTTCTCATTACGACTTTTGGAAAAGATTTAAAGTCTTAATTTCGAAATCCGCCCCGAATGAACTAGTCACGAAGTAATGAACTGATTGAAATATAAAAAAAAACATAAAAAAACAAATAAATTAGCAATTAGCAAAGGTAGATGAACGGCGAAACCGGGGCATAAATCTCACGCTATTAAATTGTACTGCAAAAGAGAGTTCCCATGAGAAAACTTTGATGTAAACAAAAAGTAACAACGGGCACTCCTTTTCTCTCTGTAAACAAAAATAAAAAACTTGTCCTGGGAAATAAATTATGAAAATCAAAACAAATTGTAACAAAATCACTTGTGGTAAGCAGAAAATTGATGAAAATATTTTCGATGCTACAAGATCACAAAATATTTCATACTCTTTTTATCAAATATAGTAAAAAGTAACATTTTTACACTATCCTTACCTTTATATTTATTTTCATTCACATCCCACATTTTTCTATTTTAGGCCAACGACCATGTGCTCGAGCACAGAAAATTCTCTCCAGTTTCACAAAGAAGCACATGGATGATGTGCCTTTTTTCCAAACCATGGAATTGAATAATGTGATAATTATGTTTGTCTTTCTAAACAAAAAAATGTTGTCCAATTAAAATTATATTTCAAAAATTAAAAAAAGAATTGTATTTTAGCACGGATGTCATGTCAAACTAATGAAAATGAATGGAAGTGGTTTTACAGATGGGAATGTTGATGCAATCTCTCTCCGTATCTTTTTAGGATCATAGCAGACAACTTCAGACCATCATAACAAAGGTTGACTCTGGTGTGCAAAAGCAGCAAAACATTCCCCTTCTTTACTTTGATGACTAATCCTTCAAACAGTATAAATACTTCATTAACAAAATAATTTATGCACATCCCAATTCCCAAAACAATGAACTTAACCCACAATTGCAAACCTCAAAAGCAATCACATTAATCAGTAAAAAATTTGCACCTGATTGAAAGTATAGTAGCACTAGGACAATCTGACATTTGCGCTGTGTTTCAACTTTTAACCGTTAAAAGTAATGAAATGTGAGATAATAGAATAAAATGTCATCACTTATTATTTTTTAAATTTTTATAATTTAAAAATAAAATAAAACATGAAAATTATTTTATTTCATTCTATCTAATATTTTCCAAAAAAAATTCTTAATCCAGGAGAAAAAAATATCATTATAAAATTATCTTATTATTTTATAGTTCTGTCTAAATAATAAAATTATAAATATTATTTTATTCCAGCATAAAATATCAAAATAATAATATGATAGTTTTATTTTATTACATCTCAGCTTGTTTCATTTCTTTTCATGTCATTCTATCCATTATTAAATACGTAAACATTGTTCACCAATATATATATATATATATATATATATATATATATATATATATATATATATATATGTGTGTGTGTGTAAACATTGTTGAAGATATGAAATAACTTATAATTTTTATTTGTTGACCAGAGGTGTGGGAAACTTCCTAGAAGTAGAATTTGGTGGAAGATAAAAAAAATGGGGTTAAAATATGTACATTCATGATTTCTGTCTGCCAAAATTATTTAAGAACCCCATCATGGAGCTTTTTTGGTACAGAACCTGATAGTACTTCGAACAACAATAAGGAATTAACGTTTCCAAGTTAAAAACTCCAACCTAAACCACCACATAGCACAGCTTCATCATCACCTGTTGTTAGTTGAAATATGATTGAGTTCAACTGAAAACTGACTACAGCAGGAAGAGAAATCATTGGTCCTGTCTACGTTTCCAGTTTTTCTTCTTCAGAATCCTCATATTTTGCCTCAATAAGCTCGGGAGAAACTGATGGCTCATGCCTTAGTAGTTGCTCTTGTTTCCATGGTTGTACAAGTTGTTCCCTTTCTTCTAGTAATGCAATTTTTGTATGGCACAAAGTTAAGGAGGTACTATCATTATTCATCTAAAACAACACAAGCCTATATAGGTTCATGCACATGTATACATGCTGTATCGTGTCACGTGTCTGCAATACTATATCAGTCACAATAAGTACTCTGTAGTCACAAGATACAAAGAAATCATATAATCATTCTATATTACGGAAAGGATATTCCCTTTGTCGTCCCTTGAGATTTGCACGGTCAATTTGATTTTGCAAATAGACCAAGCGTGTTGCAATTCTCTAGCAAGAACATATTCATAAAGTGAGGAAGGTCAGAAAGATAAGACACGTGCATTTACATATTGTAAAAAAAGGAATAAATATTAAAACCAAAATGATTCCAGATTACATGTAAGTAGAAGAATGTGTACCACACAATTAAGACTTTGGTAGGTAGAGCAAATGTTCAACTGAAATAAAGCTATTTAATGAATTTTGTTAAATGCTAAAGGCTATATTTGGAAGCAAGGTGGGATAATGTCATGAACCAACTATTCAAGAGCTTAATCTAACAGTTTTAGACTTGAAGTGTGGACAAATGGAAAGGTTCATTTTTTATTTTTTTATACACGGTTCATTAGTTTGTATATTTTTATATACTTAGTGATGGAGAGGGAAAACTAGAAAATGAAACCCTTAGCTTGGAACGTTTTTAGCAATGTAGTAGAATGGGGCCCAAACCCCTCCATGGTGTATGCAAGCCATTTTTTCACAATCAATGGAGTAGGGAACAAAATAATATAAAATAGAATAATAAAATTGATGCACCTATAGTAGGCTTAGAATCATGTGTTGCACATAATGCATACATGCGTCATTTTTAGGTTTTAGGCCCTTTTTAAGTTTCCATCGTAATTTTGAGTTTTTTGTTTCAACTGTGTTTTAGGGTTAATTGATACAATATAAAAGAGTGTTTAAGACTCAATCGTGGTGGGTGAATATTCTTTTATTCTGATAATCGAAATTGAAAACAGAGGATTTCTATTTTGGCGCAATTTTGGTGCATCAAAAATATACTTTTATTCTTATTTATTCTTTTATATCTGTCCTATAGAAGAGATAATTTGACATTTAAATAATTATTACAACTCCATCCCTCGTTTTCTTTTTTTTCTTTTTTTTGGTGCAACACTCGTACAATAAAAAATACTCCACAGTTCACTCTATTATGTACCATAACACTCTGCCTCACTTAACTCTTCCAGTTCCAGGCATAACAGAAAAAGAAAGCGAGAGCCAATGACATGCACAAAATGTCATTATGATAATCAATCAAGACAGATTTGAAAACCTATAATCAGAGTCAACTGCATGTGTGTTTTACTCACCAAACAGCCAAGCTTTCATATCATAACTCTTGCAGAAGAACAAAGAACAAAGAAAATACAATTATGATTACTCTAATAAAAGGATTGGCTACTGAATTTGGTGTACTGAAATCTGAGTCTTCAATTGCTAGAGTCCAGAAAATATATCTAAGCTAGTTATAGACCTGAAATTTTTGAACCAATAGGGGAAAAAGATATATGTTAACTAGGATAGAGTCAAGGATGCATACATGCTTTATTATATCCTCGTGAAGACTTTTAGCCTTTTCTTGAAGTTCCACCTGCCAAATACCAGTAAAAAAAACAGTTAGCATTTGTTATGATATATTTAAGCAAAAGCAATTCATATTTTCGAAGCTATCTTAAGAAATAATGAAAGATGGAAATAAATATAACCGTTGGATCAACATAATCGATCTAACGGTGAGATTGATTGGTAGTAACATGGTAGTAACATGGTAGTAACACAACTTGGTTGTTACAATATCCTTCCCCAAAGATAAAACACTAGTTATTTATTTATCAACAACTTACGACAGTTATTTTCTTGAGCAAGTGGGCTTTCACTTTTTGTCGCAAATCCTCACATTCTTGCTGTTAGCAAAACAACAAAGTTAATGCGTATTTTAGGAGAATGTATTTTAACATAATAGTCATATAATTTCCAATTGCTTTTCATTTGGGTTCTTCCGCCACCGACCCCAACTAGTTTGGAATAACGGTGTTATTAATGTTAATGTTGAGTCATATAATTTCCAATGTAATTATGCATTGGAAAAACTTAAAAGTATAATGTGCTTCCAACAAGATGTTCAAAGTTGATTCTAGGAAAATAATAGGATCATTGCGAGTCATTTACCTCTGTGAAGTCTTCATCAGATACCTCAGAAATGGGAATGGCTTTAGGCATGAAGGAAACTTGCAAGAGAATTCCATTAGACATTTCATCAAATACAACACCTAAAAATTAAACAAGAGAAATGATCAATCATTTAAGACACACAGTGCTACATTAAGAAATACAAAGTAACTAACAAAACTAGCAAATAAAAAGGAGAGGGCAAAGTACAAAATTTGTACGTAATTTATTACCTATAACTCTCAGGAGATGGTGAGACTTCCTTTCCCTATAATCATTGGAATCCACTTTGGCTCTGACGAAGGTTCCAACAACCTTATCCATAAAATTTTCAAGCTGTTTTGATAATTTTAGCACCAAACTTTGTTTTAGGTAGATAAGGTTTATATTATTGGGATTAATGGATGCAAAACAACTAGGTTTGATAAATAAATCTCCTTTTTTCAATAGAGGTTTTCCTATTAAGCTTGACAATCTCCTTTTGATACATGATGTATGATCATTGAGATGCTTATCTGTAGAATTGTTTTGATTATCATTTTTCTCCCCTGCTGAATCATACAATTTTTTGGCGAAGTGAAACTCCAACAGAGGGTATATCTGAGATTTTGATATAACTGTCTTTCTAAATATAGGAAACAACTTTTCATCAGGGAGGAACTTCCAATGGTATTTTGGGTGATGAAGGTTTTTCTCCTTAATGTATTCATATATAATAGATTTTACACCCCATTGCGTCAATGGTTCATTTTCATATTTCCCAATGGATGCAAGGAAGCTAATGAGAGGTTTTGATCCCCATCCAACAAACTCCTCTGAACTGGACCTCTTGCTTTTAGTCAGCTTATGCTTACTTGTATAATCTTCATTACTATCCCATGCCATTGAGTCATCTTGTTTTTCTTCTTCGCCTTCACTAAAATTTCTATGAAGCAGAAAATTTTTACCTTTTTTGTAGTTGGGTTGTGCATCAAAGACATCATCACCAGTCAATCCTTCTTTTACCTTAATAATTTCCCAATATTCCTTGAATAAACCTTCATATGTTTCCCTGTCATTCAAGCTTAACTTGTTCTGCAAAGAACAAACAAGTTTTAAAGGTAGATATGGATATAATCTCTCCTTAAATAAGTCGAATATATAAAGAACAGAGGTAAGTCTTATGACACCCAATCTGATTATATCAGTTTAGTTTTTTCTACCAAAATGAACTCTACTATTTTGGCTCTATATTCATATGTAGCACAAAGACCTGACCACACGCTTCTTTTCTTTTAACTGCAAGCATTAAACAGTCTATGCTTTCATCATATACAATCCAAAATGTTAGTGTTGCCCATTATTTTTACACTCAGAAATTGAAAATATCTTTAGCTTCCACAAAATAGAGAAAAATTATACTGATAACATCACCCAATGATGTTCTTTCTTTGCACCATTGTTGCTACTGGCATTTTTTGTTTTTTTCTTGCAATCTCTAAAAGGTATAACACCATGAATGAGTTGATAGTGCTACTATTATATATTCTTTGATGTAATGTTCCCTGTCAAAGTTAGTGCAGCAAGGGTATAATAAGTAAGAAAGCAATTATGGATTCAACATCATTTAGAGTAAATTTGGTAAATATTCTACAGTGCACTTTATCCCACCTACCCCTTCCGAGTCATGATCCAAATTTTGTTCAATAATCTCAACCAGCTCCAAACAGTCGCTGCATAAGCCTTTTACCCCTCTAACAACAGTAAATTCTGAGGAAGCAACGCACTTTGTGCATACAGCATTTGGACAGCCAAGGCAATAAAACTTTGGGGGTTTATTGCAGTCAGAGCAATAATGCCTACCTGAAAATATATAGAAAGCACATCATTATATTTACAACTTCATTCGCAGTTACGCATAAACATCATTTCACCACAGTTAATCACTTCCCATATCATATTTGTTAAAATGGTATGAGGGAGCCCAAAACTCTTTGCAAGTGATACTTCCACCAATAAGCTAAGAGACAAATCATAATAAGTGGGTTTGATATCATATCTCAACCCAAACCTTTAAGGCATTAAGTCTATGGGACTTTTCCACTTATATGGTCCTCACTTGACCTATTTATAGCCAAGTGGAACTTCCCACTCATACTTTAATTTCATTTCTAACATTGTCTCTTCAAGTGTGAGACCCAACACCATGCTTCCCTCAAGGGCAAACTTCAGCGGAAGCTTCTTCAAGTATTGGAGTTATACTAGCCTAACCTCTGCAGAGGCCTCTTTAGTCAAACCAACATTTCCAAATACTCGGCCTAGGCAGGGGAGCCCAAAACCCTTTACAAGGGATACTTCCCCCGACGGGCTAGGAGACAGACGATGATGGCTTGACACCACATCTGAACCCAAAATCTTAAGGAAGTGATTTTATGAGTCTTTTCTATTTATATGGTTCTCACTTAGGACATTTCTAACAGATGAGTGACTTCCCGCTCACACTTGAATTTCATTTCCATCTATATGGTGGAGCAAAAATATAAGTTCCAACACATGCAAAACGTTATTTTGGCATTTTATCACTTGACCTCAGGTATGGGATAGCATTTGCATATTACATATATAACCCGGAAAAAAAAAAAAAAAAAAAAAACTATAGTTGACGGCATATGCCAAATTTCTACCATATTGTTAAACAGAAATGCTGTGGTTGCAAATAATACATTGCATGCAGCTAGCAAGTAATTTATTATCAAAAAAATTAAATAGCTTACCACAAACCCAAGATTCTACACTGCCAAAAACAGAATCATCCTTGCCAACACAGTCCGGGTGATAAACTTTTCCACAATTCCTGAAATAACCACACATATTGATACAGATACCACACAAAGTAGACATTAAGAAGAAAGTAATCTGTTTTAGTGCCAAAGAAAAGAAAAGAAAAGAAAAAGACTCACTCATGGTCGCAAATAACCAGTTGTCCACCATCCTTGCATTCAAAACACCAGTCCTCGGGTTCTTGTTCTTGTTCTTGTTCTTGTACTTGTTCTTGTTCTTGGCAAGTCTTTCTCTTACCCTTTCCTCTGTCCTCCTCGGCCATTAAAAGGTGTGCAGTGAAAAAAACAGTGTCTCTCACAACTCACCAGTCTCAATGCTTGCTACTGCTTCCACTTACCAATAAATTATGCTTTTTATTTATTCGCTGCGTGAACTTGCAAGAAAATCTTCTTCTTTTTTTTTCAATTTTTACAAAATAAAACAACAGGGAAGTTTGATAGACCCAGGACTAAGGATTACGTCAGATCACCGTTCTGTTTCCAATTAGATACGTCACATATCAGAGTGATATTTGGTTTAGATTACTTTAAAATAATTAATTTTAGAATTTTTTTTTATTTAAGTGATAAATGAAATCGTTTTTAAATTACAAAACTATAATTTTAAATCTTATATTAGATATACATATAAGATTAAGATTATTTAATAAAAACTTCAAAATTTATTGTTTATAATTAATTTTAAAACCTAAAAATTTAACAAAACAATTAAGTTAACTGCTTAATGCTTATACATGCCCCTAACTTTTTAATAATAAAAAGGGACCATAAATCTTCTACCAAAAAAAAAAAAAAAAAAAAAGGAACCACAAATCCTTGTTTTTGTAATCTCCTAGATCGGAACGCCTGCGTACAATTGGATCGTAAATCCTTGTTTCTTTGTTGAAGCACGGATAAAGTTTTCGTTTTGGTTTTTATTGTCGGCAAGGAAAATTTCAAACATAATCTAATATCTCCGATGTCATAGTTATTTTATTTCTTATTTGTGTTCGACTTTGTTTTCTTTATTCTGAATTGAGTGTCATTTAATCATTTTTACAAGTTACCACCACGAAATATATCTGATATTCTTTCCACACGGAAAAAAAGTTAACACGTTTATGCATTAAAACATTAAAAAAATAAAAAAAAAACTCGATACGAAATAAGAATTAGTAAAACAAACAAATGAAATAGTAGATTATATTATTTATTGAATTGATGGGTGTTTCAATGGAATCTCGACCAAATTGACACAATTTTTTGAAATAAATTATTCAAATATCATATTTTAGGAAAAAATTAAAATGTTATATTTTAGGGAAATAAATTTTCTCATATGTTAATTAACATAATCATATTATATGAGAGTATCTTAACCATCAATAATCAAATCAACGGTGATGATTTTATAATTTTTCATTCTTATATTTTTTTCTCTCTATTTTATTATCACAATCCATTGTTAATTCAACCTACAAATTTAAGTTTGTAAGTGGAGATTTTTGGAAAAACTTCAAAAAATCACTGTAATTTTTAATTATGACCTTAGATTTTTAGTTTTTAGTTTTTTCATAATAATAATAATTTTCACCTTAAATTTTATAGAAATTTGTAGTTGTGAACATTATATATATTTTTAGGGCATTACTTTTTCTATGTTGCAGATGATAAGCAATAGTTTCTGTAGATACATCATACATGGGTCCATCATTTTTTTTCAAAAACAAAAAACAAAAATAAATGGCACAAATTTTGATCTATGAGCAAAAATTGTAATATATTTTTCTACAACAGTAGATAATGTTTTCCCATATTTTTATTATATAAATAATTATAATAATCCATGAAAGTGTAGTCATACATTATAATTATTTATATAATAAAAAATATATAATTTTCATAATTACAAATTTATATAAAACTTAAGGTGACAATTATTATTAATATGACAAAAATAAAACATAAATAGTACTCAAAATTAAAAAGGATAAAACATTTCTCAAGTTAAAAAAAAATATAAAAAAATTTCTACAGAGACAATACATGATGTAAGGTAATTGGTAATTTTTTTCTCTCTCCTTGGATCGTGGACCCATCCCAAAAAATTGTATCTGTAATAAATATTTTTGTTTTCTTGTAACTTGAAAAATGTTTTACCCATTAAAAATTGGTTCTATTAGTCTCGTATTCTTATAAAAAAAAGTTATCTCCCACTGACACATATTTTTTAGAATATGAAATCGTATCCTTAAAAGTATATTGTAGCAGATAAATTCTCTTTCCTGAAAAGTAACATTTCTCGTTTGGGTAGAGGAGAATTTTTTTTTTTTCAGAAATCTCAATTTTCAAAAATATGATTTTTATATTAAGTTTACGATAATATTCAAAAATTTAAAATTTAAAAAAAAAATCAATTTTTCGAGAATTCTAGAAAAAGTCACGTACCAAACGACGGGGTCATTTGTTAGAGAAGAAAAAAGATTTTACCAGGAAAATGGTAAGAAAGTCAGTTTGATGAAAAAATTTAAAAAAATGTATTTGATTGACCGAAATATTATCGAAAAATTTTATTTAAATTTGCAAAATTCATGTTCAAGAGGAACTTCACACATGTTTTCCCACTTCTCAAGTGGTATTTTGTAACAGTGAATTTCACCCAAAAATCAACACCAAAATCATTTCCTAATCTTCCTATTTACCTAATATATTTTTTTCAAAAACTTGAACCAAACATGATATTTTTCAATACTTCCCCACACTTCCATATCAAACCAAAAATAAAACTTGAAGCAGACACACCCTATAAAGATTTACATGAGTTTTAAGGACAATCACCCAACCTAGCCCGTCGCTTCTCCACTAACGGTAGCGCAACTTTAGTGAGCTATACACACGTGAGCAAAGGGGACCAAGAACAAAGCTCAAGAAGCAATGCATGATCTGAAGCAAAAAATGGGGACCCAAAGTTGTCAGTAGTTGAAAGGAATAGGAGACAACACATTGTAAATTGATCGTAATCTCTCTGATATAAATCACATGGGCCTCCAACCAACATAGCCTTAATAAAATTCACGGGCTTAGCAAAACAAAAAGCTTTCGAGCTGTAGCTTTTCTCATCAAATATGTATTCGGTGCATTGAGCTTGTCCGTTAACTTTTTTTCTTTTTTTTTTCCATACGCTCGAATTCCATGCTTGTTTATATTGTTATGCACGAAGAAATGATAATAATAACTAGTATTATAAGATATAAAATTATTCATAAAGCCCTGAATGATTTTACATCTATCAATAATAGCATGCTTGGATTAAGTGAAGTAAACTTTTATTTTTATTTTTACTGATTGATCATGAAACTGTTTGATATTTAAATTGAATTACATTTAAATTGCTTTAATTATTATACTTGAGTCCACCATTTTCCTTCACACACATAGTTTTAGATCTCGTTTGTAATAAAAAAAATACTATACTAATACATAAAATTGATAATTTTCTAATAATAACAAAAAATTTAGATGGAATATTTTTTTAGACAAAGAACAAATATAATATTTGAACTGAAATAGGAGAAATAAAACTTTGGTCAATTATCTTGTGGGAGACCCTTAAACTAATTAAGTTATGAAATTTCTTTTGTCTCCTACTCAGATAAAAAAAACAATTCATTAAGTTACCATCGTAACTTCGAATGTTTGACACCTTTTTTTTAAAGTTATAAGTTACTTTTAAAATTAAAAGTTGATTGGTAATTATATAAAATCATTCAGGTGATTTTGAAAGAGAAAATAAAATAATTTATTATTAGAATGAATTATTAGGGTAAAGTATAAAATTTTTAAATACAAATTTAAAATAAGAGTAAGACTGTAAAATAAATATGAGAAGTTAAAAAAACTGACATACATTTTAAAAAAAAAACTCAGAGCTTTTAACTTTTTACTTCATTATAAAAAAATAATCTTTTTATAATAAGATTTTTTATAAAAAACATGTTTAGTTAATCTTCTGCTTTTAAGGATAAGAGAAAGGAAAAATAAGAAATGCCCAAAAGGCAATTAAAAAACTTTATTTTTTTATTTTATTTTTTGTAAACATTAAAAAACCTTATTGTTTACACTTATGTAGACCAAGAACCCTGGGGTTTCAATTATTTTATTTTATTTTAATTCTAATTCTAAACATAAAATACAATATTTTTTAATCAATATACAATTTGAATTACAAAAAGTAACTAGAATATATTTATACTCCAAAAATAATCAAAATCCTAATTAAATTATGATTAATTATCATTAAATAGTCAAATAACAGTTTACTGAAAATAAATAACATGGGAATAAAATTTATAAACATAATAAAAGATTCAAAATCTCTAAATAACATAATTATCACGAAATTTTAAATCATCTAAATAATATCTAAAGATAAAATAAGATCCCAAGACTAAAACGATTAAAGATAAGATAAATGAAGTAAAATATCATGATTCTAAAACTAGGTCAATTATATATTACCCCGATCAACTCATTCGTTGGCATATACGAACCTAGGGAAGGGTTAGGGTTGGTCACGGCCACTTCTTACATTTTGTATTTTTTTGATCTATATATATATATAATGATATTTTGGTCTAAAAGAAATTTACATTTGGGCTAAAAAAAATTCAAGTACTTTTGGGCTAAAATTAATTGGATACATTGTGGGTATTACATACGTTTTTCGCATGGCTTTGCAACGAGAGTCTCAAGATATTTCAAATGTCTTACACCTAGTTTCAATTAGAAAAAAGTTACTTCATAAATTAAGAGAGACTTGTTGGGATGTTTTATCGGTTCAAATTTGAGAATTTTGCATAAAACTTGACACTGACACTCTAGACGTGACTACAAAATATATTGGAAGGAAAGGTCATGCTCAAAATGAGCACGATGGTTTTTCTACATAAAATTTTTATAGGGTAAATATTTTTTGTGCTAGAATTGATTATCATTTGCAAGAATTAAATAGCAGATTCAATAATACCGTTGAATTACTTGCTTTGAGCATGAATTTAAATCCAAAAAATGGGAACAAGTCATTTTTAATAGATATGATATTTGCAAATTTGTAGATAAATTTTATTTCGATGATTTCACAGAACAAGAAAAATTGCATTTGAAGATGGTGTTACCAACTACATCTGAATTATGTCAATGGCTGACAAGAATTAGAAAATCAATCATTTACCCTCTTATTGATAGAGTGATTCGACTTGTACTCTCTCTTAGTTTTTACTGTCACTACTAAAAGAGTTTTCTCGGTCATGAAGATA